CGATGCCTCCAAGGAGGTCACGACTCGGAAGTGCCACCACCGCCCATCTAAGAAACCTTGGACTTGGTTTTCACCTAGAGAAACCTGCTAGGCAGGGAGGGAGATGTCTTGATAGAGCCCACAAGGGAGATCACAGCACCCTAAGGCGTCACCTTTGTTGGACCAAAATTGGGCTAGGCTTTCGTTTGTAACCTCTCTCCTGCCTATGGTCACAACCCTATCGCCTCTCTACCATTCGACCTTTGTTAGCACGCAATTTCCACCACAATGGTGCCCTTCGCCCAGCTAGCCCATGCCCATCTTGAGATGGTCCTTACGGGACCTCCCACTCCTACCACCACCGTATCATCCCCCTCCCCGCGTTAGCACCTCATATCCGCATATTGGCGCTTCACAACCAAACCCTCCTAAACAACACCACATCAAGATTGCCCTCCAAACCACCACCTCCACCCTCACTGTGGAGCTCCCTATGACCAGATCTAGATACACCGGCTATAGGAGGGTATGTTCTCTAAGGAGAAGAAGGGGCGCCTAGCCAGAGAGGGGAGAAGGGCGGGGGAGGGATTCTACACCGCCTGATCTAGGCACACTACACACGGCACCACCATCCCTACAACTAGCATCACTTGTAAGGATGTTGCACGCTGCTGCCATGGTAGTTTCTACACACCAAGATCCAACCGGATCCAGCATCGTCGGCCATAGATCCGGCAACCTCTAGCTACGGCCCATCACCACCACAACCTCAAAGACATCATTGTCTAACCCCCACACGTTGACCCACGTCACCAGCGGCTTGGAGGCACCATTGCTTCACTTTTGCCTTGCAGTTGCCGTCCTAGCTCGCGCCTAGCCTCAGTCGGCTTGCTCTAACGGTAGCGAGGTGGAGGAAGGAGAGAGAGGGGTGGTGGCAACGGCTATGGTTGCCGCCCCGAGCCATCCACACGGGAGCGACGCGGGTGAATAGAGAGCAGCATCCTATATGAAACTCATATGATTCAATATATTATCCGATCCTTTCATAGGGTTATTTAGGAAAAAAATATTGAATTGAGTCTTAAAAAATTCATACACTACTACATCTGTCCAAAAATATAACAACCTATTATTGGATGAGATGTCTAGTACTATGGGATGTGACACAAGTACTATGAATCTGGATATGGTTTGTCCATATTTGTAGTACTAAAATGGGTCTCATCTAATACTATGTTGCTATATTTTAGAATAGATCTAGTATGGTTTTCCACTCATACATCAATCAATAGACCAACCTGGCTTCTATTTTATTTTCTAGATGGTACTACTATAATTTCTCGGAATCTAGACGAAAAGTTAAACTGTTTGGGAAACTTTCGATTCTGAGATAAACTGTAGCTACGAGAGAAACATTGCCCTTGTTTAGTTCTCAAAACAAAAACTTTTCACCCATCTCATCGGATGTTTGGACACATGCATGGAGTATTAAATGTGTACAAAAGAAAAAGAAAACCAATTACACAGTTTGCGTGTAAATTGCGAGACGAATCTTTTAAGCCTAATTGTGCCATGATTTGACAATATAGTGCTATAGTAAACATTTGCTAATGACGGATTAATTAGGTTTAATAAATTCGTCTCGCAGTTTCCTGACGGAATCTGTAATTTGTTTCTTATTAGACTATGTTTAATATTTCAAATATGTGTCCGTATATCCGATGTGACAACCAAAACCCAAAATTTTCCCCAACAAAACAAGGCCTTTGTAAATAGGCTCTGAAGCTCATAGTCAACCTAAAAGGCCTAGAGTGTTAAATTAGGCCTGGTTTATTTCCCCAAAATATTTTCCTAAAAACATCATATCGAATCTTTGGACACATGCATGAAGCATTAAATATAGATTAAAAAGAACTAATTACACAGTTAGTGGGAAATCGCGAGACGAATCTTTTGAGCCTAATTAGTCCATGATTAGTCATAAAGTGTTACAGTAACTCACATGTGCTAATGATGGATTAATTAGGCTCAAAAGATTCGTCTCGCAGTTTCTAGGTGAGTTATGAAATTAGTTTTTCATTCGTGTTCAAAAATTCCTTCCAAAATCCACTCAAACATCTAATGTGATATAAAAAAACTAGCTGGGTGGCCCGCGCAATTGCGCAGCTAGCGCCCAAACAAAATCATATATTTTTTAGTATGATTTTACTTAAAATTTATTAAATACCTATCTCGTTGTCTTAAGACTTTGAATGACCAAATCTTATCATCCCCGTGTTTCTAATTATATAGTTTTTAAAAGTCACACCAATTTCTACCCCTTACTTCTGCCATCTCCTTCTTTATTTGCTTGCTAGATCTACCACTTTCTATTCATTCTCCTTGGAACCTTTAAAAATTGGATCTTATAGATTTTAGAGTCTATTATCTTGTTAGGTTTCTTTTTATAATTTCTAGAAGTCACATCAAACGCTGCCATTATACTACTCTGCGGTTCGTCCAATGTCTTTTCTTTTTATTGTCATTGGGATTTTAAAAATCGAATATAATAATCGTTCGGGTTCATTTTTTACTTTTTAGAAGTCCCGCCAAACCGTTAGTGGCTTTGCCATTGAACTCCTCTGTGACTTATCTGCTGCCTCCCTTCTTTATTGTCATTGAGATTTTAAAATCGAACATGATTATCATTGTTTTTTTTACTTTTTAGAAGTTCCGAACCTTTAAAAATTGGACCTTGTAGTTTTTAGAGTTTATTGTCTCGTTGGGTTTCATTTTTCATAATTTTTAGAAGTCTCGTTAAACGATGCCACTATACTCCTCTACGGCTCACCCGCCGCCTACTCTTTATTATCATTGGGATTCTAAAAATCGAACATAACTACCGTTGGAATTCATTTTTTATTTTCTAGAAGTCCCACCAACCATCGGTGGCTCTGCAACTATACTCCTATACTCCCAGTGCACTGCTTCTCCTTTTTATTGTCATTGAGATTCTTAAAATCGAATATGATTATCAATGTGGTTTATTTTTTTTACTTTCTAAAAGTCCTAGCAACCTCCTTGTCCGTTTGCTTCACGACCTACATGTTGTCCCTCCTTTTAATTCTCATTAGGATTATATTTAGTGTTTTATTAACAGTTATATGTCGTATCAACCGACACCACTCTACTCCTTTATAGGCATGTTATTTAATTTATCTTATCATGTATTTTAGGTGGTCTTTTCTTTCAATAGTCCTTATTTTCTGTCACCAATTAGTTATCAATAAATTGTATTCCTAATGGAATTCTTTTTTTCTTTTTCTAATTTTAGAATTTTTTTTCAAATTTTAACTAATACCGTATAGTGTTCTTTTAATATTTTTATTTTTCAATTCCAGTTGTTTCAAAATTGTATTCCTACTCAACTCTCTTTTACTTTTTTTAATTTTTGATATTATTTTATTTTTCATTCTGAATTTTAATTAATCTCGTATCGGGTTCTTATATGGATTTTTCTTTCAATATTGCTTATTCTTAATTTCGAATTTCTGTTAATTTTAAATTATATTCCTACTTTAACTCTTTTTTTCTTTTTGCTAATTTTAGATTTTATTTTTATTTTTCTTCCGTATATTAACTAATATCGTATTAGGTTCTTATATTGACTCTTCTCTCAATATTCATTATTTTTAATTCTGAATTTCAGCTATTTTTGAATTGTATTTCTACTTGGACTCTCCTTTTTTTTTCTCTGATTAATGTGAGAATTTCTAGCCCCCACAGCGAACGTGGTGCCTCCTTTTAAAGCTATTTTAATAATATAATAGATTTCGCGAGCTAAACGGGAGCCTTAGTGACTTACTCGACGAGACAATTGCGCCCGGAAATGCTAATGGGCGGGTGATCGCTCCCCCGCCCGCCCAACGATCACCCGCCCGCCCTCTCCCCTGTACTACTCCATACACTCCTCCCCTACTACAGTACACCACACAATTTTTTTAAAAAAAACAAAAAGTTAGAAAAAATTATGTATAGAAATACTATATATAAAAAATTTGAATTCAAATTCAAATTTGAATCGGCTATGTAAACTTTTGGCTTATAAACTTTAGGTCTATAAACTTTACGTGTATAAACTTTAGATATATAGAAATACTATATATAGAAAATATTTGAATTCAAATTCAAATTTGAATCAGATATAATTTAAATTCAAATTTGAATCGGGTATGTAAACTTTTGCCTTATAAACTTTAGGTCTAAAAACTTTAGGTGCATAAACTTTAGATGCATAAAAATACTATATAGAGAAAATATTTGAATTCAAATTCAAATTTGAATCAGATATAATTCAAATTCAAATTCAAATTTAAAACGGGTATGTAAACTTTTGACTTATAAACTTTGGGTCTATAAATTTTAGGTATATAAACTTTAGATGTATAGAAATACTATATATAAAAAATATTTGAATTCAAATTCAAATTTGAATCGGATATATAAACTTTTGACTTATAAACTTTTCGTCTCTAAACTTTATATGTGTAAACTTGAGGTGTATAAACTTTAGATGCATAAATTTACTAAAATAGGAAAGTAATGTGGTGACAAAAAAGAAAATCAGGTGGAGGGAGAGAGGGGAGGGGATCGATCGCTACCCCCATCTCCTGGCGATCGATCGCCCGTTAGGATCCCCCAATTGCGCCCCCCCAGTTGTTGGGAACTGGAGACGAGTCAGATCATCGACCCACACAGCGTGATATGGAAGGCCCACCTCAAAAGGTCGCGTCGCGTCCCGCCGAGATTCTGGAAGCGAAAGGCTGAGCGCAATCGCGGGGCGTCCAAGTGGCCCCTGCAAAAAATCCCCCCCGAAATCCCACCACCCCCCCGCGGCGCGGCCGCATCAACCCACTGGCCCTGCGGCGGCCACCCAACCCAACCCAACCCAACCCAAGCCTCACATCTGATCACGACGCCCACCCCCCCACGCAAGATCGCCGCGCCCGCGCCACGTAGCCGGCCAAACGCAGCCACACAGCCCCGGCCACGCTCCCGCCTCCCGCACCATAGGCCGCCCCCCGCGCCCTCGCAGTCTTTAACGTCCCAGCCTCTCGTTTGCCTCGCACTCCTGCCGCCCATCACCCAACCACCGCGCGCCTCTCCTCTCCTCTCCTCTCCCGCCGCGCGAATCGCGATCTTTTCCTAAGCCGCGGCCACGGTTTGCCTCGCTAGCTTGCAGTATCTGTATCACACAGAGGGGTCAAGGGGACGGATCAGCTAGCTCTCTCTATAGCTAGCAAAGCCGGCCATGTGCAAGAGGAGCTGCATGGCGCCGTCCGAGTCGTGCGCGGCGCGGCCGGCGGACGAGAGGCCGGCGGTCTGCAGCTGCGGCGGGGCCGGTGGTGGTCAGGCGGCGGCGGGGACGTCGTCGGACCGCCACCACCAGCTTGTGCTGCTGCAGGCGGAGGCGGTGGAGAAGAAGAAGGGCGGCAGGGGGGCGGCGGCGCCGGACGAGGCGGCGATGGCCGACGGCGGCGGCGGTGGCGGAGGCGCTGGGGATCACCATCAGCAAGCGGCGTTGCTGGCGCCGTTGCCGGTGTCGAGGCGGCCGGCGCCGTCGTCGGTGGCGGCGGGGGAGGAGAGGGAGAGCGCGCGGGAGCGGCTGAAGCGGCACCGGACGGAGATGGCCGGGCGGGTGCGGATCCCGGAGATGTGGGGGCAGGAGAGGCTGCTCAAGGACTGGGTCGACTGCGCCGTCTTCGACCGCCCGCTCGCCGCCACGCGCGGCCTGCTCACCGCCCGCGACGCCCTCGTCGCCGAGTGCGCCGCCCCCGCGCGCCGCCCGCCGCACGGCCCCACCGCCCGCCCGCTCCGGGTGCAGAACGGCTGCTCTTGATCGTGATCGATCGCCTCCGATCTCCATCGATCGATCGATCGAGTGCTTTCGTCAAGTTTTTGCCTCCCCTGGCCGGCCGCCTGCTAGCTTCTTCCAAGTGAAAAGTTACTCGTCTTCTATGCGAAACCTATTCGGGGTATGGATTATTTGATCGATGTCAAGTACTCTACTTAATCTGTATACTACTTTTGACTACTGGTGGATGTAATTAATTAGTTAATTGATCACCATTTGCGGCAAGTTCGATCCATTCTTGTTCGAAGCAATACTCCGTCTGCTCTAATATAAGAGCTTGCTAGCTGTTGATTATTTCATCCGCTCTCTATCCTTCACCTTTACCTGGCCATCCAATCGATTAATTAGCAAAAAAAATTCATGAATAAGCTTCCGATCTCCACATCAGATAGCTGAATTCCCCATCTACACTGCCGAACTTAAAAAAATCCTAATGATTCGGATGAGCTAGCTATCTCCTGATCATCCACTAATAAACAACAACACCTTAATTTGTTCCTGTTCAGTTTAAGTTCAAAATCCTAGCTAGTATCGCATGTAATATGCAGCAGCTTAATTCATTCAGCTCTCTCATCACATAGATCTAATAACAGTAGGCAGAGGTACGGTATCTCTGGAATTGTGCTCTAGGATCGCAGGTTTAGATCTTGAATTCTTGATCGATCTGTTACTATGAGCAACCAGCAAATGATTCTGCATCAACATCTCACCGACGTGGCCTCGTTCCCTTCTTTCGTTGGTCGTCTTTCCATTTGTGGAACAGATTCTTTCCTACCTCCTTTGCTTTATGATGTATATGGAGTATCTGTTAGAATAATTAAATGGGCTAGCATCTATAACAAATTTTGAGAATAATTACTAGAGAAACTCAAGTATGCACTGTACGGAGGGATGTAAGTGGGGTGGCCAAGTGGGCAAGCGAGATTTTTTTTCCGCTTATCACAATTCTACTTAGTTTTATGTTTCAAATTTTGTACTAGCAACTAGAAAATGAATTATTAAGCAGGGTTTTATACTAGTAACAAGATTGTTCAGGAGAAAACATGTATTTAGTTTCACTTTGTTGATTGCTCGTGGAAGGAGAGGTGAATTTTTACCTAGGGAATGTATGGATAATAAATGAGACCATAACATTGTAACGTAGACGGGATGCCGAGTGAAGGAGAGAGAAGGCACGAAGAGAGAAACATTGACTCTTCTTTTTGAAGATTTGATGCGAGGCACAAGATATAAGGGAGAGTTGTGTGTGGGTATTGTGGGAAGAAGGTTAGGGAAAGAGAAAAAATAATGAATAAAAATTTGGTTGTCTTGACTATTAAACTAATAGTGGCTCTCTTAATGGCATATAAAATCTTGGAGTTTGAAGGAGACTCAACGGTTAAAATTGCGTCGGTAATACACAATTACTAGTGACGATATACATAGCTATCAATGGTGATACCTATCAAGTACCAACCATGATACATATAGGTACCAATAATATTATTATTTATTAATTTTAATTTAATACTCTACGATACATCAATGAAAACCTATCTAAGAAAGATGTACAACAAGTATAATAGTAAGATTTTATTGTTTAGCCCAACCACTACTGGACACATGGCTAAGTAAGGCCCTACAAAACGGCGTAGTTTCTCTAACTACTAACTAGAAGAATGGTAACCCAACACAAAAAACACCCATGTCGCCCTAGTGAAATAACCCATCCTGCACCAGGAGTGGGGTAGGGAGGTTATATGTAGTGGCGGTTATAGTCTTCTAGAGGTTTTGGACCACCCTCCATTTTGGTACAGAGTACTCCATCCTTCAAATTTGATAAAAATTTTGACAAAATAGATGTAATGTTGACATTATATAATTTAGAAGTATGGTGTAGGACCACGCCTAACAAAAATTTCTAAAGCCACCACTGTCCTATGACATGGAACATGGGGATACCATTCCAACGTTTGGATGGTGTACTCTGTACCATAGTAGCTCCCTTTTTAGCTTCTCTCCCCCACAAAATACCACCTCAACCTAATTTTCCTTTAATTATCGCACCACCTTAAAATTGTGCTGTAGCAGGGGGTATGAAATTGCCATGGACACCCATTAAAAGTACTCTTTATGATTGCACCACTGCGAAGGAACATTGACTCCAGTTAACACTGACCATTTATTAATGAGACCTTTTGATTCAACAGCTCAAATTGCAGTTACGTGGAGTCGAAATCCCAAACTCGTGCTTAATCATGGGCCTATACGGCCACATGCATTGTGGCCCAACATCGGGTCCTGTCTTGAGAGACGGAGCTAGCCCAGCCCACGGAGAAGAGAGCGGTCCGGATCTGGTTGGTCCACACACTCCGCATGCAGGGCCGAATAGACTTGTTCCCCGCGAAATCGTAGTACGCGACTAGCTAGCCAGCCACCGTCCGGCCCACAACGCCGGAGCGGGATCAACGAGAAACGCGTGCGAGATTCTGGTGCGAGCCGGACGGACGATGAGTCGGATCGGCGTCAGCCACTCATCCTGTCACAGTATCGCCCACTCGATCGGATCCGCACCGACACTACTCTCCCAGCCAGCCACAGCTCGGTGATTCGAGCGTGGGCCGCATCGGTTCTGGCCCATGCCGTCCGATCCGTCCGTAGGCGAGCGCGCGGGTCACCGACCGTGTTTTTTTTCGATTTTGCTATATCTCACTCGAAAGATTTTTTCTTATCTCTCACTCGATTTTCTCACTCAAATTTACAGTGCATTTTCTTGTAAGTTACAGTGTAATTTATGAAACTTACACTGTAACTTTTGTAAGTTACACTGTAATTTTTGAATCTTCACATGTAAATTTTAAATTTTGTATTGGATTTGGTCTTTTTCTCGAGGATATGGTAATTTAATGTTCATTATGGTGTTTCTTAATTGCTTTTTGCTTTTTATTATATCTATCGGATTTTAATATAAAGATTAAAAATCTGTGTGATACGATTATAAAAATCTTTCGAAAGATGTATAGGTACTCCCGTTTTTTTTTCCCGGAGTAGCCGCCGGTGATCAGTGATCTGGATTCTCTGGAAAGCGGTTTCCCTTCCTTCTTTACTGCTTCGCTAATAGTAGGGAAACTATTCTAATCTCTCGAGGGGATGTTCCCTCGTTTGCTCAAAAATCATCTAAACGGTTATGAAAAATTCTGGAAAAATTTGACAATATTCATACAACACATATATACAACTCCACAAAATCTTAAGTCCAAACTCAACTCACACGTCGAGATATAAAAAAAGACAAATTCAGCGTATGAATAGTAGCGCACTGTTTATATCTAAATTTGTCTTTTTTGTTTCTCGATGTGTAGAACGAATTTTAACATGAATTTTGATGGACTAGTAGGTATCATTATACTCTACATTGTCAATTTTTTTCAGAATTTTTCGCAACTATTTGCATCGAATTTATAAGAAAAAGGTATAGGATTAGAATCCACTCCCCTAGTACTAGTCGTCTTTCTCTTTGCCCGTCGCTCTCAGGTTCGGTGATTGTCGCTGATTAATTAGCAGCCGGCGGTTCGCGATGTCCGGTTTCCGTTTCTTTCTGTCGATTTCTCTCTCGAGATCGTACGTGGAGTCAAATTAAGATCGGTCATCAGTCGCCCGCACACTTTTTGCCTCAAGATCCGGTAATACGGCCGCGTGCGTGGTGCCACGCCTGAGGCGCACCATCGATCTGACTCTACGGGAAAAGTCACGCAGGTGCATGTAGGACGATTCGAGCTTACTTGACATATATTACACGCGACAGGACAAGTAGTAGTATAAAGCTCGGGAGGACGGGTTGATCGATATGATTGACTCGGTTGTTACTCTACTTGTATAAGATTAGGAACACGTGTGCTCTTACGTAACACAGCGTGCGTCGTCTACGCACCAATAATCACCCACAAACAATAAGTAGTTAAGTCGTTTTCAACGTGTCAATTATACGGGAGACGACATGTTTCCGTCGACATGTACGGTGCTAGCTTAGCTAGCCCGGAGCTGCTGAGGCGACAGCGAAGGTACGTACGTTGCCGGCAGCGGCAGCGGCAGCGGGGCCAGATTGCCCAGACATGGCGCGGTCAAGAGAGCGGCAGCTGACACGAAGCGGGCTACCACGCCGCTACGCCCACCGGTGCGCGCGCGCGGTGACGAGGCAGCCACCCACAGAGAGGCCTCTCGCACGTACGCGATCGCGCGCCGATACATCATCCGTCTCGATCTCCTAGCTCGCTTCCTCCCTGCTTCCCACCGGCACCGCGGCACGGCTACCGCGCGCGCGCGCGCACACACAAACCAGGCCGCTGTACTCACACGTGCTCGATCGATCGCTAGCTTATATAGCAGCAAAAACTACTAGCTCGACTCAGCTGTCAGCTCCAAGCCTATCCAAGTGGAACGCAACAGAGGCGTCGTCTCCTCCTCTCCTCGACCTCTCGCGGTTGGAGGTCTCGCGCGCGCGTGAGGCAACAAGTGCCCGTTCGATCGACCGGCAAGGATGGCGACGGCAGCGAGAGCGGCGTCGTGCACCCCCGCCGCTTGCGCTGTGTTGGTCATCCCCATCCTAGTCCTGATCATGGCAGGTGAGTTCTTCGCTCAATCTAGCTCACGATCGAGCAGTGCTTCTGCAAATTAATCTCTCCTCGATCCCCCTTCAGCTAAGCTGTCTCGCTTCAAGCTAGCAGCTTATACTGGTTCATCAGAAAGAGACGATGGAAATTTTGTGTGTTTTAGTTGCTATGCATTTCACAATTAAGTTCGTTCTTGCAAATTGGGGATACGATGCTAGCTGCATTTCGTTGGTTTTTATCTGGATTAGCAGGTGCATTTGCCGATATTATATCATGTGATTGTGATTAGTAATGCGCAGCTCTTTAAGACCTCAACTATGGCTAGGTGCTCCATGGCGTAAGACACCGCGCCCACTAAGGCTACAAAACCAAATCACCATATAAAATCCATCTCATTTCTAGAAGATCCTTCTATTGGGTATCAATCTTCAGTTTTCTATCAATTCTTTACAAGCAAAGTAAGCAACAATAGTCGGGTATATTTCCCTTTACTCCGCTCCATTTTTTTACTTTTTCCCCCTCCAATTCTGTTTTTGCTCGTCTTATCTGGTCATGAGCTGTATGTGGTTTTTCTTTCTCCACAAAGTTCCTCTGGAAAGAGCATTTGTTCATCATTTATTATTCGCACCGTACCCGCCAGCTGAATTTGGTTTGATAGGCGAGTTGCAACTTGAAAATATAGGTGAAAACAAAGCACAGGGCTCGACACTGCACGCCGCATTGGAATAATTGAGTTGGTTAGTACGTAGTACTACTATTAGTTCTTGGCAGGATGCCTTGGTGGCTCATCCACCACATGTCCATGTGGTCCAGTGAAATCTTGCTTCCCATTGGATCACGCGCACTGTGTATCTTGTATATTGTATTATATCTAAAATTTCTTTATTCTTCATCCGGGGAAATAAATTCTTTATTCTTCTACAGGATTAATTAGTCCAGGGTAATAATAGTGTCCAATTGTAAACACATTGTATCTTAAGAACTGAGCATAACTCCGTTGACGTGGTGTAAGGTTTTCCCCCAACCCACCTGAGTTTGAATCCTAAACCCAGCATGTTTCTCATGATAGCACTAATGTATATATTACTCCCTCCGTTGTAGGTTATAAGATGTTTTGACTTTAGTCAAAGTCAATCTACTTTAAGTTTGATCAAATTTATAGAAAAAAATAGTAATATTTTTGAACCAAGATAAATTTATTATAAAAATATATTTAATTATTAATTTAATAAAACTAATTTGATAATGTAAATATTGCTATATTTGAATATAAACTTAGTTAAACCAAAACATCTTATAATCTGGAATTTTATAACCTGAAACGGAGGGAGTACTTTTATTCCGATGTGCCTGCATTCATTGCACTCATGATGATAATCAAGTTTGAGCTGAGCTAGCTGTTGCAATCTCAAGGATGACCAAAAATATTACATGAATGAGATTCCGTGTTTTTCACTGCATTCTATTTCTCAGCACCATAGCACATCAGAACAAATAAATGAACAATGATGATGATCACTCGGAAAATTAAACTTGACAAAATGCAGCAAAATATACAGTGGCACATTTTCCTCGCAGACAGAACCATGGCTCATTTTTGCATGTATATATGCGTCTAATGCAATTGCTGGTCACTGACCGTGACAAATCGCATGCATGCAGGGCAAGTGCGAGTCGCGGAGGCGCTGTCCATCGGCGTGAACTACGGGCAGATCGCGAACAACCTCCCGTCGCCGTCGCGGGTGTCGTGGCTGCTCCGGTCGCTCAAGATCAGCAAGGTGAAGCTGTTCGACGCCGACCCGCACGTCCTGCGCGCGTTCCTCGGCACGGGCGTGGAGTTCGTGGTCGGCATCGGCAACGAGGCCGTCCCGGCGATGGCCAGCCCCGCGGCGGCGGAGTCGTGGCTGCAGCTGCACGTGGTGCCGCACCTCCGCGCCGGCGCGCGCATCACCTGCATCACCGTCGGCAACGAGGTGTTCAAGGGCAACGACACCGCCCTCCAGGCCAGCCTCCTCCCGGCGTTGCGGTCCGTGCACCAGGCGCTCGGCGCGCTCGGCCTCCAGGGCCGCGTCAACGTCACCACCGCGCACTCGCTGGACATCATGGGCGTGTCCTACCCGCCGTCCGCCGGTGCGTTCCACCCCTCCGCCGCGCCGCACCTGCAGCCGTTCCTGGCCTTCCTGTCGGCGGCGAGGGCGCCGTTCCTCATCAACTGCTACCCGTACTTCGCCTACAAGGACGACCCGGCGCGCGTGCCGCTGGAGTACGTGCTGTTCCAGCCCAACGCCGGCGTCGTCGACCCGCGCACGAGGCTCGTCTACGACAACATGCTGTACGCGCAGGTGGACGCCGTGTACGCGGCGATCCAGGCGATGGGGCACACGGACATCGACGTGAAGGTGTCGGAGACCGGGTGGCCGTCCCGCGGCGACCCCGACGAGGCCGGCGCGACGCCCGAGAACGCCGGGACGTACATCGGGAACCTCCTCCGGAGGATCGAGATGAAGCAGGGCACGCCGCTGCGGCCGCAGGCGCCCATCGACGTCTACGTCTTCGCGCTCTTCAACGAGAACCTCAAGCCCGGCCCGGCGTCGGAGCGGAACTACGGCCTCTTCTACCCCGACGGCACGCCGGTCTACAACGTCGGCCTCCGCGGCTACCTCCCGCCCATGGCATCACACGAGGCAGCGACCCAGGTAAGACGGATTACTCCCACATTACCATTCTTTTTTCGATTACATGGAAGACACACGTGTGTTGCGACATCATACGCATAGATCAGCGGTAAAATCTTGATTGTGCAAAGTTTTTTTTTCCTTGATTACACGGTACACGCGCACACACACACACCAGTACAAACGCAACTTCACACTTACATCCACCAGTGTTTCCCAATAGAGATGAAAACCAACGTTACATTCTTGATCTCACTAAATTCATATGAAAGCATATTTGCGTAAGTATAATATTTATAACATTGGAATTTAAATCCATAATCTCACCATCACATGACATGTGCTTATTCCATAAAGATCATACTGAAATGACACTCACGTACTTTTTTTTGTCTAAAAAACTTAACCTATGTGAGGATTTGATATAACCTACTATAACGAATCTGGATAGCGTGGGTTGCGTTCAATCATCACCTAGATCAGGCAGTCAGCTATGCTTTCACCTGATTGCTCTCAAAACATTTTACGTGATGTACGTTGTACTACTGAGATAGTGAGGTGGCAATGTGACAGAGATAAAAGGCCGTTGGCATTTGGCAGGCAAGGAATAGAATTCTCCACCAATTGAAGTGTCCCATCCGCTTGCACTTACTAGCAAAATGCATCATCAAACTCAATATTATACTCCTAAGTTCTCTTGTGAACCTGTCCTTTACATGAGCCTTGACAAGTCATCTACCTTTGTGTCTTTTTTGCAGGTGATCCATTGGTTCCTACTTATCGCCACCGCATCGGTCGTTTTCGCCTTATCGTGACAGTATCAGCCACTGTACTTAGTGAGTCGTGACAACTGCAGTTAACGGGGGTGCCATTCAGAAGCTGAAAATGGCTTCGCAGTGATATTAGATTAGAGGATAGATCTAACAGAAATTTGGAAAGTATTAACCCACCAGGCTTGCACTGCCTTTCGTCTTACAGTGTTACAGAGGAAGAGTCATACAGAAGAATTGTCATTGGTCGATAATACATAGCAAATCATCAGTTGTAAGCGTATCACATTCTTTTGGGATTTATAAATGATCTTGTTCTATTCTGGCATCTAAGGTCTGGAATCTGGACGTATATTCTTGCACAGCTCCTATACACAATTACTGTTTCTCACCAATCAGGAATTGATTTTCCCCTGAATGTTCTAACATGCCTGTGTAAAGCATAAGACTTGTGCATGATCACCAGTAAAGTTTCAGCGATACAGAAACCAGAATGACCAAGTCTGATGCCCCAGTAATGGCATAATCTTTTACTTTTCCGGCTATCCTTCTCCATCCATAAAGAATGGTCCCTGGTACCCATGTCGAATTCTGAACTTTGTGGTTCACTGCTCCTGTGCACTGAACTACCTATACAAATATGCTGCTAAACGTTACAGATATGTACATCAGCTGCAGACCTTGATCAATGCAAATTGACTAACAGTTTACACAAAAATTTCAAGGTCGAAATAGTGCGCGCCTATCAATGGGTGTCAGAACCATCCAGTCCAGTTAGACGTTGCGCCACTTGATTTAATGGTTTAGTCAGATATATCCACCAATCAATTGGATGCTGATAAAAATGACCATCCAAGCAGACCAAAGGACCATGAAGGGATAGCATGAAAGCCAAGTATTTCCATCAGTCTGATTCAAGCTCCTTAAATCTCTTTTCCCATTCCTTGACTTCATAATCCTGATCCAAAAGATCCTTTTCGGTAGTGTAGACGATCTCCTCTGGAGTAATTACCTTACGTTGAGCCATGTCGCGTGCACTGAGTAACTGAAAGAGAGGGAAAACCAGCTAAACTAATGCCACTTCAAATAAAAAATAAAGGAGACAAAAGTGCAAAAAAATAAGTACTTTGTTTCATATTATAAGTCATTTTGACCTTTTTAAAGTAAAACTTTTTGAAAGTTTGATCAAATTTATAGAAAAATATAGCAACATTTATAGCACCAAAGTAGTCTTATTAAATCTAACATTGAATATATTTTGATAGTTTCTTTGTTTTGTGTTGAAAATATTGCTATATTTTTCTATAAATTTAGTCAAAGTTAAAGAAGTTTGATTTAGAGAAAAGTCAAAACGACTTATAATATGAAACGGAGGTAGTACAATTTATCAGGTCATGCATACAAATTGTAAAAAACAAAATATGAAGTTGTACCTGTCTTGGCCTCTCAATTTAGTATCTTATCAAATTATTTCTTAAATTCTATATCAATATTTAGCAAGCTGTAACTGACATGAACTCTTCTTTTAATCCAGACCATTATAATTCAGTTGCACCTAGATGGATGTCCAGATTTATTTACTATTTCTCTGATTGGCATGGGAATTTCCTCAGTGTGCAAATATTGGCAAGATATATGAGTTCCATATTCCACTTGCTGTTGAAGGCTAAGCCTTCCAAACTGAGTTTGCTTTAGAACAATATGATGTTAGGAACAGAAGTGACTACTGAATCTACCCATGATTTCAACCTATCAGATTCATGCAAAATGCATCAAACCTATACAACTTTCTCCAAACAGGTCCACGTGTGTAGCAAAAAATCATGTGATGACTGTAAGTTTGCTTTATTTTACAGTGTTTCATTTTCCTTTGTTATGTCCCAATGAAATATGCAGCAATTTCTGTTGTTTTACCTTTCTTCTGAGAGAAGATTCTGGCAATGCAAGTTCCTGAGCTCGCTGTTCTCTGGCCTTGTTCCTCCTTTCAATGTCATTGTTGGTCTTGCGGAGTAGAAACCATCTAAACAACGGTATTGCAAAAAAGGAACCAGCATATACCTACAAAGGGCCACATGTTATCAGTAATCAGTATATCATCAATGCATTCATCATACATTCACAACATAATACAACCAACAGTTTGCACATTATGACTTTCAGATGTTCCCCTCACAAAACCAAGGGTTCATGATTGATTTCAACCAGGTGCTTTTCAACATGACTATAAAGATCAAGGGATTACAACTTTTATGCAACTAAATAGGCCGCATAGAGCCCAGCCATACCTGAAGCAAAGGAAACAGTTGCGCAACAAATGAGATAAGTCCACCAGGTGGCACTGTCATTTGCCTACAAAACAAAGTTTAATGTAAAAAATTAGTAAAAGTGAATTACAATTCAATGGTATTTGAGGGCAGAATCACAATTCCTACTTCAACAGGTTCCCAAGAATGATCACACCAAAAAGATTGAGTCCTCCCAAACCAGCAACCATTGCCCTTTCAGATGCATTTGCTTTGCTGCAAAACGACAACACCACATATGAATATACAGAGGTACAAGACAAACTGCAGATTTCAAAAATAACAAATTGATGCAATTACCCTCTAATGCATCAATACAGACAATTCTCGGCTCCAATGCAGTGCATTCCATAGTGTACTAATGTGTGACTTGATTCCAAGAAAAAATAAATTTACAATCCAAACACAAGTACATGCACATTATAGGGTAACAAAACACCCTTAAGTTAGATTTTGGCATCAGACTGAACAAATATTTCCTTGAATTGAACCAAAATGGACCAAATAGATAGAGGTAGTGCATGGTAGAGAGCTGCACAAGTTAGGATGACGAGGTAGATGAGCTAAAGGCAGGAATTGGAAATAATGGAGCTTCATTTGTCATTTGATCTGAAGTCACAGAGGGTGATGCGGACAGCTTTGATAGTTCGCAGTTGTGTTTTAGGCAGCTTGGGGTATATTTTAGGACCTAGGCCAAAGTACAATGTTGGAAGGTAGAACAGGTTCCACTAGAGTTAAATGCAATAACAGGGAAACTACTTGAATAACTCAATGACAAAAAAATGCTAACCTGAATTTCCATGGTTTCTCCTCTAAGTACTTTTCAACACTGCTAAACATAGCAGACCATTTGTTACCAACATATTCTCTAACCCCACTTCCTTTTGATGAAGCAGTACGTTGCAGTGATGGAAACCTATAAAGAATGTTTCCCTGAATACAAAAACAACATCAAAATACACTATAAGTTGATCAGTTCAATCAAGATGCATTCAAGTTCACTACCAGTTATGTAATGCCACCTTCAGTAAGTGGTGGGATTGATGGTGTAAACATTAAGAACAATGTAGGGATATGTCTTAGTGGCAGTCAATATATGCTTAAATTATGAGAAGAAAGATGGACCTGTTCATCAACTTCTGGGTGTCCCTGGAAGCGTAATAGAACTGGAAGAATAAATGATTCATCATCCTGTAGTTCAGAATATCATATGCATATGATGAGATGAGGCTTCACGCCAACGAACAATCCATAACTTACATGGAAAATTCATCACAGTATTTAATTTATTTAGTAATGAATGGAAAAGTACAAAAAAAACCAATAACAACAAGAAGAATACTAATAAGCATTTTAGAACAGAAGTTATATACCTTGGATTGTTCTGAAATTGGTGGCACATCAAGATACGGTGCTAGTTCTTCTGCCGTGACAACTCCACCATTCGATGAAATATATTGCCCAATCTGTATATTTATTCAAGGAGAAGTTAGAATTTTGTAACAGTACAAACTAGTAACAAATAAGAGCTGATCATGATAGTTAGAAACAGAAACAGCTATATGGCCTATGAAAAGCTTTTACCATCTTCCACCTCTTATCTTCAAGACCATCATTTGGATCACCATCTCCAAATACAAATGAAAAGATCTGCATAATTGATTTATGAACATAAAGTTAACCCACCTACACATGACAGAATTACACCAAGGAAATGAAATATCAAGTCAAACCCTTTTAAATTACAGATTCAATAAAATTCATCCCATCTTCCTTTTCTACCCGCCGCCGCCTCCTGTAGTAATCAGCGTCCAAGTACCTGTTGAAGACATATGAAATATTATTGTGAACGACTGAACGATAGCAATGTGTACAAACTACAAAATTAAAAGTATTCACGGTGCAAAATCAAAGATTGCATTAACAGCTGGATGATTTAGTATCATTTTTCATGCAGTCCCTACATAAGAGTTATTTTCATGTTGATTTACGCATGCTATGCATAGTGAATGCATAAAATACAACTAACACATATGCATGAGTATGACTACGTTTAAATTGATTGTATTTTTGCCAGAGCATTTATTCTGAGATGGTTCGTTTCAGAAGAAATACTAGCACAACAGTTGGCACAGAGCCCAGGCAATTTTCAACCATAAATGTGCAATAGCCGATGAAGTTTAGCAACCCCCCAAACGCAAAAGTAGATGGACATTATAATTGTTTGTGTTCCTTCGCCCAAGAATGCACTAAGATAATCCAGCTATGTTGAAACTCGTCCTAAAGTGACAGGAGACTTACCAAAATAAATCTGTTGGTATGATGATAGTAGAGTCATAGGATCTCCGTCGCCTGCCGCGATTATCTTCATCACTGATACAATAAGAAGTGTTATCACTGGACTGGAAATAAGCAAATGACAGTATCTCTACTAATGTCCCCAAATATATAGAAACAACTAATAATGGCTAAATCTTAGACTATAGAGTGAGATTTTTTATTCTGAATTACATATTTATGGATGGAATTGAGGAGAACGGTTGATAAATATGAAGACATTGTGCCTGAATTGCTTTGAGTAGAATAGAGTATAGTAATTAATTAACTGAAAATCCATCTGGTTATACTAAGCCCACCTCGAGCTTGAGATAATGGCAATGATGGTAGTGTATACAAGCACAATGGAGGCGATGAGCGCTGTCCCAAATGACACTCGCACCAAATATGCACCCACTTCCTGCGAAAAGTTACAGAAAGAAAATTCACAACTGAGCCAACAAAATGACTCGCGCAATTTTTATCAATAAACTTTTTGTTTCATCTCTCCAGCAGTCCAGCACCTTAGTTTTGTCGATCAGCGGCTCGACCTTCATTCTGAACGACTTGCCAGCAAGCTTCGCCCTGTAGTCTTTAGGGAAGACGTACAGCACCTCCCCTTCCTCCGAGACCTACACAAGTCGCAACCGCTTCATGCTTAGACAGCCACAAAAGGCACGGAGGTTAGCAAAACCAAGGACGCGGTGACAACGGAGTACTTAGCAGAGCTAAGGAGGCGCACCTCCAGGAAGCCGCCGGTGTCAGCGGCGAGCGCTTGCAGCGCGCGCTCGGCCTGCGCGAGCTGCAGCCCCGCGCGGGACGCGACGTCGCCGATGGTGACGCGGCCGCCGAAGTGGTCGACGGCCTCCATGGCGCGGTCGCGCACGCCGGAGGGGAGGCGGTCGGTCTCCACGGCGCCGCCGGGGCGCGCGAGCCCCGGCGCCTGGATGGTCCCCGCGCGGGCCCTCACGTCGTGGCGCCACCGCGGCGACGGCGGGTGCGGGTGCCGGCCGTGGTGGTGGTGGGCGACGCGGAGGTGGAGGTGGAGGTGGTGGTGGTAGGGAGAGAGGGGGAGGAAAGGGGCGTGGCGCGGCGGCCTGCCGCGGCGGTGAGGCGGCGGGGGCGGGGCGAGGCGGAGGTGGAGGGAGAGGGAGGCGGCGGGCGCCATGGGTGGGGGGAGGTGGTGGTGGGGGTTTAGGGCGAGGTGGGCATTCTCCGGTGAGAGGAGTGGCTGTGGAAGGCGGAAGGGAAAGGGGGGAGAGAGGCGGTGGTGTGTGCTGGCCGTGGCCACGAGATCGGATTTGGTCTCTCTGACCGGTGGATTTCTGGGTCGGTCTCGTTCATGGCCTGCACTAGCTAGGCACGTTAAGTTCAAGCTCAGCAATAACGCTAAGCAAAATTGGGTGAAAACAGATCGAATAAAGTTAGTTAGACACAGATAATAGACAAAATGGATGATCAAAAGTTCAAAACACTAGAAAAATATCAAAAGTATTGGGTTGAGTGATTAGAGAGAAAAAAAACACGGTTTACAAAGACACTTGTAAGACTATTGCTCCCTCCATTTCAGGTGAGAATTTTCAGAATATACCACAATATGCACTGCTTTTAGGATTTGTCACCCAATTCGTACTACTTTCAGAATACACCACTAGAGTGTGAATTTTCTTCGTTTCGTGCCACTCCGTCCACCCAAAGACGTGCGTCGTCAGTTCATCCATCTCGTGCCATTTGCCTGCACGAATTTGGCCGCCGGCGAGCTCGTCCTCCCCCACGCGTCGTTTGCCCTCACGCATCTGGCGAGCTCGCTCGTGTTGTCCCCGAGCTCAGCCGCCGCCGCACCGGGCTGTCGCCACTGCGCCCTCGAGCCACCGGAGCTCGACGCCCTCCGCCCTCCACTGCTATTCCTCTCTCCTCCGGGCCTCTCCCGCGTGCGCCGATGGTGGCGACGGACAGTCGACGGTGCAACTGACGCGGGCACGACGGACGAGCGATGACGGGGCTGACGCCGGCGGCGACGGACGGGCGACGGCTGGGCTGACGCAGGCGCGAGCAGCGGCGGACTGACGACGGCGGCGCCAGGAGGACGGAGGACGACGGCAGCGCCAAGAGGACGGAGGACGACGGCGCGATTGACGCTAGGGGACAGAGTGGTACGGAATAAAGAAAATCCGCACTCCAGTGGTGTATTCTGAAAGTAGTGCGAATTGGGGGACAAATCCTGAAAGCAATGCGTGTTGGGTGGTATATTCTGAAAATTCTCATTTTAGGTTGCAAGACGTTTTGACTTTGGTCAAAGTCAAATTGTTTTAAGTTTGACTAAGTTTATAGATAAATATAGTAATATTTATAATACTAAATTAGTTTCATCAAATCAATAATTAAATATATTTTCATAATAAATTTGTCTTAGGTTGAAAATGTTACTACTTTTTCTACAAACTTGGTTAAACTTAAAGTAGTTTGACTTTGACTAAAGTTAAAACGTTAGATAATTTTGGTCGACATGACGAATGTGTTCGGCCAATTCGCGGTAGCATATAGAAAATCCATTATCTAAAAAGAATTGCAGTAGCAACTCGAAACTTTAAGAAGGATAGTACCAAGTAACAGATGAATTATTTATGAGATGGATAAAATGCAGTAAAAAAAACACAGCAACGATTTCTTTTTTTAATGGTGAATGTTATGACAATGTTAGTCCCAATCAAGCTACATCTTGATAATGAATCTAATGTATTGGTTTGTTTAATTTTTTGTATGTATACAAAAAGGTTGTGTATTGTATTGTTCTCGTATGTGTGTACATTCCAGTTTTACTATTTTGATTAGTTGGTTATTGTTTATTGGCTAGTAACATGATATGCAGTAGTAATATTCAAACTAACTATGGATATACTTTTTATGTAGTGCATTAAGTTAATGAATCAGATTGAGCGGACTGTTATCTTCTTTATTTACTCATATGCTTTCTGTTTGTAAGTTATCTCAAGAAAATCAAATGATATATCCATAGTGATGGACTAATTATATTTTTTTTAAGTGATGAACGTATTGCATATACTGAGAGTCTATACATAGAATAATGATTGTTTTGTTCATCTTTTTTAAAGATATAAATTTTACGTTAACTTCCGTTATTCATATTTTTAAACTGCTAAACGGTACATTTTTTTTAAAAAAAAACTTTCTATAAATCATCATTTTAAAATATCAAATAAATTTATTTTTAAAATTTATAATAATTAAAGCTCAATTAATCTTGCGTTCATCTTTCATTTTAATCTATCTCAAACACCACGAATCATACTTTGTCTTTCAATCGTTCGCATCAAGAACCAGAACCAGGTTCTTGCAGCGGCAGCTAAAAGGGGGGGTTTTTAACTATTTGCCACTCTTACGGAGTGCCACTCTTGAGATGCCACTCTTTCAAATTTTTTTAAAGAATTACCATAAGAGAGAGAATTAATCTTTATAAATGACCAAATTTGCCTAAGTGGAGGGCTACCTCAGCTCTGTCAACATGAAAGCGGATGTCTAATGACTCTTTGGCCCTTGGTTTAAACATTGTAATAGCTGACTATAACCAAATATTTGAGCAACATTTGAGATTATATACAAACGTATCTAAAAATATGGTTTATCATTTTTTAAAAAATAGTTTATAATGGGCAAATGTTCAGTAATTTGAATAAGTTCACCATAATATAATAATAGATTCAACGAGGTCATATCCGTATAGAAATAAACCATCACACTAGTTTATAGAATATATCAGTTCATATTGAAATAGAAGTCATAGGATCATTAGTCCAGTACATCTGATCTGAGAACTACTGAACTAGTGTGGATGGTCTAGCTCATGGATGTAACCATGTAGAAATGTAGAATCCATTATTTTTATTATGGTGAACTGGTTCAAACTACTGATTTTTTTCCTATGATAAACCCTTTTTTAATAGATAGTATTTTTTTTAAGATACGTTTGTATATAATTTCCCAAATGTTACTCAAATATTTGGTGTACAAGAGTACATGGTCAAACCAAGGGTACAAGAGTCATTTGAATTTAGCTTTCACGCTGGCAAAACTGACATGGCCCTCCACTTAGGTAAATTTGATCATTTGTAAAGATTAATTCTCTTTCTTGTGGTAATTCTGTAAAAAAAAAGTTAGAAGAGTGGCATCTCAAGAGTGCCACTCCGTAAGAGTGGCAAATAGTTAAAAACGCCGCTAAAAGGAAGGGAGCGTATTCTATGCACACAGGCCCTCGCGTGTACACACCGTGTACACCAACTAAAAATTATCACAAAAAATTCTAGGAAAATTCATACATGTACTTTCAATAGTATTACATCTACGTGCAAAGTCGCATCTTCAAATTCATTCTACATAGAGAATAACAAAAAAGATAAAATTCTGACAAAATTGCAACCTTAAAACTGTCAGATTTTTTGTTTTTTTTGTTACAGCTAAAATATAATGAATTTGACGTTAAGATTTTAACCCTAAGTGTAATACAACTGAAAGTATGTGTATGATTTTTTCTAGATTTTTTGGTGATATTTTTTAGTTGGTGTGCACGTGTATATACACGTGAGAGCCTGTGTGCATAGGATATGTTGCGTAAAAGGAATCCACCATTTGGGTTCTTCCCGGGGTAAAATATCGGCCCCTCGTTCCCTTTCGGCCACGTCACCATCTCCCCTTCCGAACAGCTTGCCGCCACCACCACACCACGCCGCTCGCCGCCCTCGCGGCTTCCTGCCATCCGCGACACGCTTCTCCCGCACCGCCGCACACCGTCAAAAAAATATCGGCGGGCGCCGCGCAAAGCGACCTCCTCCCCCCTTCACCTGCGCGCGCGCCGACGAGGACACAGTAGCGGCCAGCCACCCACACAGCCACCGCGCCGGAGAACGGGCTAAGCAATGGCGCTCCTGTGCTCCGCCTCGGCGCGGCCGCCGCTCGCCGCCGGAGCCCGTGGCCGGCGCCCCGCGCGGGGGGCGGCCCGCGTCATCGGCGGCGGCGGCGGCGCGGAGGCGCGCGCGTCGCTGGTGCTGGCGCTCGCCGCGCAGGCCCTCGCCGCCTCGCAGCGCCGGGCGGCCGGCCTCGCCGCGGAGGCCGTCAAGTACGCGTTCCCGCCGCGCCGCTTCGAGCCCCGCACCCTCGAGGAGGCCCTCATGTCTGGTCGGTGGTGATGATTCCGCCGCCGTTGGTGATCCATTCTCGCCCAGAGCCTCTCAGGCTGGCTCTCAGGGGTTTGTGGTTTGCTTTACTGACATTGAATGTGCTCTCGCAGTGCCCGATCTCGAGACCGTCCCCTTCCGCGTCCTCAAGCGCGAGGCGGAGTACGAGATCAGAGAAGTGGAGGTGACCATTTGTTTTCCATCCATCGAATTGTTTGTTTTATAGGACAATGTTAATTGGGAATTACGCGTCTATTGAAAATGGAATCAATTATTCTATTACATGATATCAACTGCCTTCTTGTAAATCTTGACCAGTCCTACTATGTCGCTGAGACGACAATGCCTGGAAGAAGCGGATTCGATTTCAATGGATCATCCCAGTCATTCAACGTGCTGGCGTCTTACTTATTTGGTAAGGTAGTTGATACAGTTCCACCCTGGGTCAGAGTTTCTTCCTATTGTTCCATTGACTAATTGAATTGAACGGGAAATTGTTAGAGGGATTATTATTAATGGTATATATGCTTTTGCCTCTAGAACACGACTTCTGAGCAAATGGAAATGACAACCCCTGTTTTTACTCGGAAGGGTGAACCCGATGGTGAAAAGATGGACATGACCACACCAGTTATAACAAAGAAGGTGGGTGGGTTCTGTATGTTATTCCCATGAGACATTGTTCTGATTTGTCACTTCTAGTGATTATGGAGTCAGGGTCTTAGCATGTATATGTTGAGAAGTTATGCATCCCATTTAATCGATGCTGTCATTTGCAGTCAGCTAATGAAAACAAGTGGAAGATGTCCTTTGTGATGCCATCAAAATATGGTCCAGACCTGCCACTGCCAAAAGACCCTTCTGTGACCATCAAGGAGGTGCCCGCCAAAATCGTAGCAGTTGCAGCCTTTTCAGGTCCTAATTTCATATTCTCAGTTTTGTTTGTGTACCCATTTCAACATGAGCAATGCTACACGTACTAAATTTTTCTTACTAAACTTTTACTAACAATCATCTGAACCGTTTGATTTAAGTAGATGGAAGTTACAAAAAATCTAGATGCACTCATAGCATGACACATCAGTGTTAGTAAGAATTTAGTAAAAAAAAGTTAGTACGTATAGCCTTTTCCTTTCAACATTGGGATCTCGATATGATTTTTGTCGCATTTGCTTATGAACCTATTTGTTTTTCTAAAAATAGCAATCTTCTGCTTATTGGCACTGCCGTTTTCACATTTGTAACCTTTCCATTTCCTCTGCTACTTTAAAAGCACAGGTGTCGTCCTTCCTTTCCCTCCCCCAATCCCACGTATGAAAAACCACTCCAAAAAAAATCCAGTGCAACTAAAAAACTAGCCAACAGACAAAAAAAAAAACACATTCCCCAGATCCCATTGCAAGGGTTGAAAAGATTGAGCCATGTTCCCATATCCCGTTGCAATGCACGGGCACATGACTAGTAATGATAAAAGCTTACCTCTTATCCATCATGTGTTCTCTGGAGAAATGCATAATTGAAACTGATGAGTTTGCACAGAGCGACTTGCATCATTAATTGTACTATGTGGTTCCATCTGGGAATTATTGTCTGATGTAAATTGTATTGTTGTTTCCCATATTCGTACTAATCATCAAAACAATCTGTAATATTAGCTTTTCCGTTATTATAAAAAATAAAAAAAATACCTTTTCTTTTTCAAGTAATGAGACCAGAACAAGGTTCACCCACTTACATTATCATCTTATCAGAAATAATTTAGACTTTATGTTTGATTATGTTTTCAACATACTACAAAATCACCCAAAATTCGATATACATTACCCCTGTTATTTTCAACTTTCCTTCTCAGTACAGAAAGTTTGAAAATGGCATGCATCTCTCATGGTATTTATTATGTTTTGAGCTAAAGGTTAACTCTCTTTCTTTCTGCTAAAGTAATATAAGTTTTATAGATATTGAAAACACCTTGAAAACGTTCTTTGTTGGTTCGAGAGGATACGCAATTATGTACATTATGCACTCCTGCCAAAATGGCAATCATCCACTACACTGACAAGTCATCTTTTATACTCTATTTGCTGTAAAACAGGTCTGGTTACAGATGATGACATAAGCCAGAGGGAATCCAGATTGCGGGAAACTCTCCAAAAGGACTCTCAATTTCGGGTGAAAGATGATTCAGTGGTAGAAATTGCTCAGGTAAATCTTGCTCAAAATAATTGATCAATATTCTAATGTCCTACATAAATAAGATTGATCATTGACTGATCCTGGGTTTTACTGAATCTGCAGTATAATCCCCCTTTCACACTTCCATTCACAAGGCGTAATGAAATAGCATTGGAGGTTAAGAGGCTTGATGCAAACTTCTGATGACCTAGATTAACAAATAAGTTATTAGATTTCAGTGTATATAAAAATGCACGCACCTACAAATTTAGAATTTCAATCTTCTCTTTGCTCATATTGTATATACATATGTATCGTGTATCAGACACAAATTTACATGATTGTAAAATTGAATGTTGAAGTATCATAGTTCATTTTGATATTTTAATTTGTGTATGGTATTTTTTAGCATAGAAGGCCATCCTGTCTTAAGATCTCTGTCACAAAGCTAAAGTAGACCTTTTTTTCCTCGTACAACTTTTGTACCAAACCTAGAAAGTCTTTTTTACAGAAATAATGCGTTCAGCAGAGTTTTGAGCCTGCCATATTTGACACTGATGGGCATATTTTCACCAATTTAGCATGTAGTACATGGGAGCATCAGTAACAGTAGGATATATCATTAATTCATTATGGAGTTCTTGAAGGTTCTTAGATTGGTTCTTTAAGCTGGATTCTGTTTTGGACTCTGAACTTGTAAAGCTGTGATCTTTATGCAGAAATTAAGCAAAGGGGATATATTCTATCATAGTATCATCTAATGATTTGGCTTGTCACTTACATTTACAGGTGATATATTCCTTATATGCGTTCCTATTTCCTTGTTTTTATCGTGAACTAGCATAAACAATTCGCCTAATTGTTGTCCTAGTTGGTTTTTCATTTTGTGTGCGTGTGCACGTTTGTGTGGGGAAGGTGTTTGCCGTTCACTGGTCATGGGCATATCTGTACATAGGATGCTTTTCTCTTGGCATGATTTTATAATATTCTCTTAGTTGGCATCTTGGAGATGAGTCCCACTCATCTTTATATAGTATAAGGTGCTGAGGTGTGAATGTGTGATTATCAGCATAGCCGAGATCAATTTCGAGGTAGTAAAGTGACCTACATTGTTTTTATCAGTTAAATTTATAACTGCTTAGAACAGTTGTCTTATTTTACGTCTGTTACAGAAGTTATGCTATTTGATGGAGCTGGCACTGGACAAGACTGAGGAATTGATGCATTCATCCTGTGATGCTACAAAGAGGACCTTGCTATTTTCTAATTACTGAAAGGGCAAGGCCACTCGGGATCAACACATCAACATCTCTGAACTGGTCTACTTGTCTCTGCAGGTAGGAGGAAGCTAGCTCGTAAAAATACCACAACAGGCCCTATATATCTGTGCTCTCCACTTGTGGCGAGAGAGCAAAACTGCAAGTACTTCTATAGTTCCTTGCACCTAATGATATGAGTTTATATTTCTGAACAGAGGATCAAATGATAAATGGGGACTGCTAAGAAAAGTGCAATCTTTGTTGCACTGCTGTGCACTCACATTCTTGTGAACCATGCATGTGACAGTGGTAAGAATTCTGTTTATCCTTCTTTTGCATTTTTCCTCAGCTAGTCTATTGTTTTGTTGTTTAGTTTATCTTATGATATGTGATTTGTTGACCATCCATGTGACAATGGCACAGATTTTTGCTCTCCCGAGGACTACAACAGAACAACTTTGTCCCTCAAACTTATTTTTTTCTTATTTTTTTATAGTTTTTCAGCTTGTGGCGACCTTTTCTTTACTCGGACTAGAGATGCATTTACCCCTTTACCTCTCAGTTCTTCCTTTGATTCTTTAATAACTACAATTTTGATATTTATATTGAATGGAAGAAAGTCAAGATAAAAAAGTCACAAAATCTCATAAAAATGGAAAAACAATTCAAATTCCTCAGTCATACCAAATATTATAATCATTGTAGAATATCAGATATCAAACTGGATGATCCAAAGATAATAAAACTCAGTGGAAACTGGATGGATCATTGTTACGAGTAATTTTCCTGAAACACCTTATTTCTGATATCTCATATCTGATCTGTATTGCCTTTACCTGAAGCAGATGTGGTATTTGGGTACAGTGGGAGTACTGGTCCAGAGCATTGGGGGAGCTTAAGTCCTAATTTCACAACGTGCTCAAAAGGGACGTACCAGTCCCCAATCAACATTTTGAAAGATGACGCAGTTTACAACCCAAAGTTGGAGCCCCTTGAAATGGATTATACTGCTGCAAACACTACCATTGTTGACAATGTCTTCAATATTGCGGTTTGATCTAAAACAGATGGTTATTTGTGTTAACAAAGAAAATGTGTAGATGCAAGAATAATACTCCTAGTCAATTCTTTCTAGGAGAATATATGATTGTTTTAATATGCTGTCAATTACTTACTCATTCATTCTTTGAATTATCCATTCATGCTGTTCTTTCTGCCACTAGTGCATATGGATTAATACTCTTTGAATTAATACTCTGTTCATTCTTTGAATTAATAGTCTTATCCATTCATGCTGCTGTTTCCGCCACTAGTGCATATGGATTTGATCTCCAATCTATTATAACTATAATAATAAATTTACTACAAAATGGAAATATGCTTTGTCCAACTTTGTCTACGCCATCACCTATTCAAGTAGAGGGTATGTAAATTCAAAATCATCTGGGTTTAAATTGTGGTTGATTGATGTAGCTACGTTACAACGACACTGCTGGGACTGTGAAGGTGGATGGGAAAAAGTATAAACTGAGGCAATTGCATTGGCACTCTCCCTCAGAGCACACCATCAATGGCCAAAGGTATCCATGCACAATGCTGCATACAACCTGGTGCATTGTGAATCATGGTTATCTGTTATTCTAATTGTGTGGACCATGTCATATCATGATAGGTTTGCAGTGGAGCTCCACATGGTTCACCATTCTGATGATGGCAACATTACTGTCATTGCAGTCCTTTATCGACATGGGAAACCTGATCCATTTCTTTTTCAGGTGAATTTTTGTGACACCCTGATAGGACATAGTACTCGCTATAATGATCAAAACACTGTACTCTGTAGGACTCTAAAAATCAGATCCCCCACTTCAATCAACTAAAGTCCTTTTCCATTTTAAGTTTTAACCCTTTTTTTTTTGGCATAGATCAGATTAGCAGGCTGTCCTCAGTACTGACTAGATATTGTATCCTTCAGACATAGGAGTAGGCTTGAGAACAATAACCTGCTCACAGCTGGAATTGATGCCATTAAAATGTGTACTATCTATGAAGCAGATCAACACTGTCGCCTGGCGTTTTTTTTTTTTGACATCATTGGATTACCTTTCTCATATACTACACCTCATAATCAGCATATGCATACTTTAGCTATTTGCTATGTTGGTGTCTTGGTGACATGCAGATAAAGGATAAGTTGGCTGCATTATACTTAGAGGGCTGTAAAGCGGAGAAAGGCGAACCTCTTCCTGTTGGACTCGTGGATATGAGGGAATTGAAGAAAGGCGCGGATAGGTATTTCAGATACGTTGGATCCCTCACGACACCTCCATGCACCGAAAATGTTATCTGGAACATTTTTGGAGAGGTACTATTCCCCTTGCAGAGTAATAGAAACATCATGAAAACTTCGTAGTGAGTTATGTTTTTATACTCACTGGCGCTTCTAATTTTGCAGATAAGAGAAATGACCAAAGAGCAGGCTGCTGCTTTGAGGGCCCCTTTGCACGGGAGTTACAGGCACAACCGCAGGCCGACACAGCCACTCAATGGTCGCACCGTGCAGCTCAATTACATGTAACCCCATAACGGTAATCCAAAAGATGCTTTATCCTGCGGCAGCTCATCTATCTGCAGATAATAATGTGCTTTAGTATGTACCCAAGTTCAGGAATGTCAATGTAATCGGCGCCATGGACTGCAATAAAACCTTGTTCATTGTCATGGTTCACATCATTCATTTTTCTTTTGTGAGAAGTCTCCGAAAGGGAGATAACGGCATGGATGCAGGGAAGACGAAGACCCTGAATGTATGAATTCTATGCATAGGAAGACAGCGGCATCGAGGGAGGACATGACCATGACCTCATAGGAATTGTTTGATCTTCTTTTTAATTGAAATGAAGTGAGGAATTTAGAATGGAATAGAAGCAGGTTCGCTTAACTGTTAATCACTTGCAAATGGAGGAATTTATCCCTTATGGCTTCTTGTTGCTGCCTGTTCTAGACGAGGAGAACTGGGACCATTCACATTAATTTAGCAATCAGCATTAGCAAATCAGTAAGGTTCTCTTAAGAAATAAGCAACTGCAGGATATTGATTAGGGCATTAGGAATATGTCCATGACGTGCTCCTCATACGAAATTACGAAAGTATGGATGAAAACGAACCGCAATAAGCTTCAATATGATATCCTGATCCAGTACTCTAATGTACTCTCTCTCCATCGCACAGAAGTATTTTTTTTAGTGTTTAAAATTTATCCCACAAAACGTTTGGTTATTTGGAGGTGTTCACCAATGGCAATAAAATCCTGCTTAGGATAACTAAAAGGCACCACAAATTAGGCGGATTTGAAGGAGGACATCAACGTCTTTACACCATGATGTGATGTTAATATGTGTGAGATTTTCTAAAAATCAACTCTTTGTGTGATGGATGGAGCATTCGAGGATAAACATTCAATCAATTCTTTGTGGGACAGATAAGAGTATTAAAATGAAGATATGCCAAAGTGTTTAAAGAAAAGGAGAAAAAAAAGAAAATATAAGCATGCCAAAGTTTTAGGGATTAGAGGATAGACCACTCAACTCAACGAGATTAGGGGAAAAAAATAAAAAGGCAATTAACTAAGCATGACAAAGTTTGGAAAAGGAAATTAGGGAAAAGGGAAAAAAATATACATGTTAAAGTTTCAAAAGGGGGAATTAGGGAAAAAGAAGAAAAATTGAAGTCAAAGTTTCAGAAATGAAATTAGGAAAAAAAATAGAAGAAAAAAGACATGTCAAAGGTTAAAAAAGGATATTAGCAAAAAAAATAAAAATGTCAAAGTTTCAAAAATGAAATTAGGGAAAAAATTAAAATGAAAATTAGGGGAAAATTTTAAAAATAAATGAAATTAGGGAAAAAATTAAAATGAAAATTAGGGGAAAATTTTAAAAAAAATAACAATAAGGGCCCATCCGGGTTCGAACCGGAGACCTCTTGATCTGCAGTCAAATGCTCTACCACTGAGCTATGGACCCTTTGCTGAATTTATTTTGGATTTTAGTTTACTCAAAGAAATTTAATGGCAGTCTTTTCTAATTATTGTGAGATGGTGATATAATCAATGCAAATTTCATAAGGTCACTGTCACTATACTAAATAGAGCCTATATTTCTTCCATGACGACTGCGCTTACGCTTGAGAGTGGACTTGATCCTTATCCAAAAAGGACAAACAGAAACGCACGCACACAAAAACAAGAGAAAAGGAGCCACCTGAATCGAAACACAGCCGCCAGATCGCCTCAAAAACAAAGAGAAAATTCCACGCGTGAAGCGTTTAGACTCGTGTCCATCGATATTGCGGCGCGAAAAGCACCGGGCGTCCTCCTCCCTTCAACAAACTACAAACTACAGTATGTATACTATTAGAGCAGGTTTAATAATAGCGCCTGCGGCTGGCGATAATTTTTTCCACGTCAGTTAGAATCAAACTAATAGCTAACATGCACAATAAATAAACTGTAACATATCTGCTCATCAATTTATAGATACTATTTTCTTCTTTAATTATCTTACCCTCTCTCTTCCTTTACTTTTCTCGACCAATGACTGTGATTATCAGCCTCTGTAGTGCATAGCAGCGGGCCCACTTCTCTCGGGTTGTGCGTGTAGCCCGGCGACTGTTTAGTCGCCGACTTATCCCATTTTTGCTCTTCTCTCCGCGCCAGCTCAGCATCCAAGCCAACGTGGCATTTTTATCGCTGGCTTTCATAGCTTATTGCACCTGTTCTTACTAGCTCGTGGAATACAGGAATAGCCTCGTACTATACAGGAATAAATGCCATTAGCAAATTCAACATTAGTCGGCCGGTCCACTCATTGAATAGCTTCGAGTGTTTCAAGAAATGAGTATATATCGCATTTAAGCTCTAAAGTTTAAAACGGTGACATAGGCTGTGTTTAGTTGGATCCAAAGTTTGGATTTTGGTTGAAATTGGAGATGATGTGACTAAAAAGTTGTGTGTGTATGATAGGTTGATGTGATGGAAAAGGACTGAAGTTTGGATCCAAACTTTGGATCTAAACACAGCCATAGCTTAGAATATAATTGTTGCAAGTCATTATATATATAGGACGAGCGCGAGATTTTGAAAAGCAGCTAATGAGGAGGTATCTGCTGAGTATATGGAAAATGTGGTTTTCCTAAGTTTTTAGTTATCTTTTCAGATTCTGTTTAGAATATGGGTGAGAGTATGAATTATTTGAGATATCTTGAGTTTCTAGGAGAACCTGTAATTGCGAAAAGCTTCTCCGAAATCTGTACATGGCTATAGTTAGACTATCCAATGATCACTAGTTACTTCGTCGGTTATGACAGAAGGTAGATGAACTTTCATCATTGTTGTTTTAGCTATGGCAAAGCAAATAGATTTAGCAAAGTTCATTCAATTACAAATTTTAGCATTGATGCTAGTAAATATCTTTAAAAAATATTGTTGGCCAACATAGAATAACTCATACAAAATCGACAATTATTTGTAGACGGAGAAACCAAGTTTAATTGGTTTCAACAATGGAGCATGACATCTATCAGTGTTGAGCCTGCGCAGCTACCGTACGTACAAGTAACTAATCTGGTTTAAAAATTTGTGATATATCATGTCAACAAATTATTTACTCCCTCCGTCCTATTTTAAGTGTAGCCATGAGTTTTCGTGTCCAACTTTGATCGTCCGCCTTATCTGAAATATTTTTGTAATTAATATTTTTATTGTTATGAATAGTACTTTACTCGTGACTTATGTTTTTAAATTTTTTTCAAATAAGACAGACGATCAAAATTGGACGTGGAAAACCATGGTTGCACTTAAAATGGGACTGAGGGAGTACCACATAAGCAGGAACATATTTTAGCTAAGTGAGTTAACGAGTGAGTGGCTGGATAGATAAAAAAGGCCCCCGCGTTGCCCCACGCAGGTGACACGGCCGTAGCCTACCTTAGTCCCCACCACCCCTTCGACCCTCCTCCTCCACTTCGCTGCCACTTGAGGGACCAAGCGAAAACCGTACGACGAATTAGGATGGCTGCGATGGGGGCAAAAGCGCAATCCAATGCCCAGATCTGGCGCGGAGAAACGAGGAAAAGGCACAATGGTGCATTGGCGAGGAGTCTTGGTGCGGTGGATAGGGTCACCAAAGTGGAGCAGTGGCGTGTTGGGGCAGCTGAGATAGAGCGCGACGGAAGGTCATGACTAGGCCTCCTCTGCGGGCTTGGTGGCTAGATTTATATGGATCTGGCATCCCCTCTTAATCGGCTAGAGCAACACGAGCAACAGGCGGGTTGCTATGGCGGCATTAGTTTTCTGGCATGGATGGAGGCCGTCAATATTCATGCAAAGGGTTTCGGTGACAATGGGCAAGGTGGAGGTTGGTGCCTATAAGGACGGGCATGGGCAGAGCATACTAGCATAGTGAAGTGGATACTATATGGGATGGAGCTGTCCAACGGCGAGGAGTTGCACAGTCAGTGTCTTGTCAAGGAGGCTGAGTCAATGGTGAAGGCATGGAGATCATCAAGGAGTAACAGTGGCCGGAGGTGGCCGCAAGAAGTGGGAGGTGGCACCTGTTGGGTCGCACGGGGAGACAACCGTCGGGCTGAACGATGAGGAGGTGATGGGTGATGTGACTTCAACTCAAGATGGCAGCTCGATCAGTCGTCACAACAGGCACAATTGGTGGATCAGATGGTGACGGGGTGGTTCTCTCTTCCATCTGCTAGGCCTCCTCCCTCTCCTTGAGGGCAAGTACTATAAGCCTCTACACACTTGCTCCTGGGTGCCATGTAAACTCACATGATGAGGTGGATGAGAGAAATGAAGAGAGAGAGATGATGAGCCACCTCTTATGCAAGAGGCAATCTCTATTCAAACTCCAAAAGAGATGAGATCAAGAGGTCAATAAATTAATAGGAAACAAATAAAGTAAATTTAATATGGTGTATTGGGACAAGTGTGCTAGAGGTAATTTATTGTATATATTGACTCTTAATTAATGAGTTGATGATGTGAATAAGATTGGGAGGCTATTAGAGCGAGTACAATAATAGGCTACAAGTCAGCTGTAAGCACATGTGGAGTAGAGAAGAGAAGAGAGAGAAGGAAAGCGGGCTACAGATTCGTAGCCAACTGCAGCACAAACTCCAATATGTCGTGTGTACGAGAGGTGGGACCATATATTAATAGTGTAGTATATGGTTATAGATAACTATTGTATGAATAAGCTATTAGATTGGATACAGATGAATTAGAGCTAATAGTTGGTTGTACTGTTAAATTTGCTCTTATCACCCCTACTTTAAAACTTTGCTCTGTAGGTGTTCCCCCTCTATTGGGAGAAAATTGACATTTAGCCATATTCAGGATGGGGTTTCGCTGGAATGCCACTCCCGAATATGGCTTCGTTATAATGCCATTGTCAAATGAAGCCAACGTGCTATAATGCCATTTCAACCATTTTAACTGATTTCCAAATGTTTTCCATCATTCTCTGACATATTTGCCCCTAGTCATTTTGTTGACTTTGCAGGGGAAAGGAGAAAGGGGATCGATCCCCATCCAGTCGCCGGCGGTGGAGCGTAGCGGCGGCGGCTGCGGCGACGGGGCATAGCTGCGAGTTGGTGGTCGCCGGCTCCTCGTCCTCATCACCACCACCACGCCAACATCCGTCGGCTCGCCGTGGGCATGACGGAGAGGGCGAGGAGAGAGGAGCGGAGCTCGCCGTGCGCGCGACGGAGGCGACGAACGTGGTGAAGTGGTGGGGAGTTGCGGGAGGGAGGCATAGGGGACGCCGGCGAGGCACTCGAGGAGGAGGTCGTCGAGGAGGATGGAGATGGGGGTCGGCGATGAGGTGGGCGGTGCCGGCGTGGCTGGCGACGGGGACGGCGCCGACGTGGGTTGGGGAAGGCTGCTCGGCTCAGCGGCGCCATCTGCATCGGCGTAGGAGAACATCCCACCAGCCCCAACCATGTCGGCGCCGCCGCCGTCCCCGTTCCTAGCCATGTCGCCACCGTCCCCGTCCCCAGCCATGTCGTCGCCTTCCCGTCCCCAGCCGCGTCGCCACCGTCCCCGTCCGCACCGCTGCCTTCCCCATCCCCAGGCGCGCCGCCGCCTTCCCCGTCTCCGGCCGCGCCGCCGCCGTCCCCGTCTCTAGCTGCGCTGCCGAGCCGAACGGAGAGGAGGAAGACAGACCGAGCCGAACGGAGAGGAGGAAGACAGAGAGGAGAGATGAGATAGGATCAAGGGTATTTTGGTCATCTCAACAAGAAAAAACATTACAAAAAACATTAAACTGAGAAGAAATGGATGGAATGGCATTGCAACAAGTTACCCCTGTTTGAGGGTGGCATTTTAACGAAACCACTTTTGGGAGTGGCATTTCAGCGAAACCCCGTTTTGAGAATGGCTAAATGTCAATTTTCTCCTCTATTGGAGGGTGTTCAGACATCCGTTGCGAATAAACATGAACTCTTGTCTTCCTCCTCCTAGAATTTACCTTAAAAAAGATTAGCCAAGTGAGGTAGTAATTCAAACTTCCCTTCCATCTATTTATCGTGCAGAGTACTCGATGCAAAAAAAACAAGCAGAAAATAACACGGCTTGGAATCTCGGGGAACGAATTAAACAAACGCCATTAGCTTCCAAATTAAGCGACAATCCAACCAACCCGTCCTGTCACTGGCACTGTCACTGCCGCCGTGCCACCGTTTTTCAAATCCCCATCTCCAAACCATTGGCGCCTCCCATCACACCCGCAAATTACCCATTCTACCCCTCCATTCCTCACCTCATCTCACCCCTCTTCAAAACCAAACCTCCATCAAGTCTTCGTCTACATCACACACTACACAACCAAAGAAAGAAAGAAAAGCGAGATGCCACCGCTTACTCTCGATTCCCTCTTGCACGGCGGCGGCGGCGAGCCGGAGGACGAGTGCGAAGACGAGTTCTCCGGTTCCGACGACGACGGCGAGGACGGTGGCGGTGGTTCTGAGGAATGGGGCGGCGACGTTGATGGCGAGTATGACCCGTACTCCCCAGCGGAGTCGCTGTGGCTCAGGATCGGGGAGGACATCGACTGGAGCGAGGTCGGGGCGGTGCTGGAGCGGGAGGACTCCACCAAGGGCGCCTCCAACCCCAAGTCGGCCGCGGCCTGCAGCTGCGCCGGCGCGCCGGCGGCGAGGATGCCGACGTGCGCCGGCGGAGGCGGGACGGCGAAGGCGGTCGTCATCGCGGGGCTGCCCGCGGCGGCGCGGAAGGCCTCGCGGGAGCACGAGCGGCGGCGGCGGCTCGGCCGCGCCCGAGCCCGCGCGCGGGTGTTCGCCGGGGACGCCGTGGAGGTGGCGGAGCCCGGGTCGCCCAAGGTGTCCTGCCTCGGCGGCGTCCGGTCGCGGGCGCGGGCGCAGCAGCCGTGCTGTCCCGCCGCGGCAGCTGCGGGGAGGCGGCGGTGGTGGTGCGCGCCGTGGTTGGTGAGCGCCGCGTGCCGCCGGTGCTGGAGCGCCCCGCCACCGCGCGTGTAGGTACGGTGGTGGTTGCCGGTGGAAGCAAAGGTGAGGCGTCGCCGTCGAGTTCAGAGGCAATTTGGCGAAGGCGACGCCGCGACGGCGGACGGCGGGGTCAGGGGTCGTGCAACCACGTACGCGACGGCTGACCGGCGAAACGTACAGTTTGGTCAGGAATTGTGGGCCCACCTCCTCGATGAATGTCTATCTGCTTTAAGTTCCCTGTGACTGTACGTGAAAGCTGAGTACGGTGGCCGTTCAAATTGGAATTCCAATGGGCCTCGATCCATATGCCTCTCCAATGTCACGCTCTGTTTTGTTCATCTTTTGTGCTAAATGTTTCCCAAATGTTGCTGTACAAATGCATTGATACGAAATTACAGAAAGAGGTGCACATAATACGCCGCCTTATCACGAGAAATATTTGCATATATGTCATTGTAAAAAAGTTGGCTTCGTTCATATGCATCACTTAAATGAGCTTAGAAAAAATATCACTCTCAATCGAGGAGTCTTCGTTGAAATGTCATCCTGAACTATTTTGTCATTGGCCTTTTTCTTTCTCCCTTCGACACAGACCTCCCTTCGACACATAAAAAGCTCATCGGCAGCCACCGCAAGCTCAATACCATGTTAGGACCTTGTTTGTAATATGAAGGAAGCATTATATTCGGTATAACGGTTAATAAATATAATTAAAACTCAACCATAAGGGACGGAAAGTTGTCATTTTCTTATTTTTGGTCTTTGTTATGCATAGTGGCTCGATAGTACGGCCCATTTAGAAGACGAGAAGTTACTACTACACCATCCGTTTATATTATAAGTCGTTTGACTTTTTTCTAATCATTTTTTTTTCAAACTTTGATCAAGTTTGTAAAAAATATACTAATTTTTTAAATACAAAATAGGCATATTATTAAAATATATCAATGTTAAATTTAATGGAACTAGTTTAGTAATCGTAGATGTTGCTATTTTTTTTATAAATTCGATGGTACCTAAACTGACTAAAAAAAATCAACGTCTTATAAAAAAACGGACGAGCGAAAAAACCGGACGAGCGAGAAAAAAAAACCGTAAATGTCTGATAAAAAAAAGGGCGAAAAAATAATCCGATTGCGTGTCAAAAAAGCGAAAAAAAATCTCTATCTCTATCTCTGTCTCTACTACTTAAAAAATAATAAAAGATGTTTCCATCGTCTGTAAAAAATAGCTAAAAAAAATAAAAAAAGGTCTGACTCCTATCCGATTCCCTCTCAGAAACAGAAAAAAAGTCCGACTATAGATCCGATTCTTAATCTATACCGTGATATCTTACACATCTTGGTGAAACAAAATGATGAGCAAGATTAAAGATCTGTTTAATAAAACAGAACCTACAGGTCGAGAGCATTCCATTTTTATATGATTTTAATTTTTGGGTTTGTACTTTTGCTTTTGAGTCCCTATAATTTTTATATTTACATTTGAGTTCCTATAATCTTGCAATAAAGTACTTGAGGTCGTTTTTGTTAAAAATAATAATAAAAGAGAGAACAAAAGCAGAAAAGTGCATAAAAAGAAAAGGAAAGCTGCAAAAAAAAGGAAAACAACAACAACAAAAAAAGTTCCGTTTCCCCTATGTGGCAAAAAAAACCGTAGATCTGAACGAAAAAAAATACGATTCCTATAAAAGGTAAAAAAAAGTGAAAAAAATGCTAGATTCGATTCCTTTAAAAACAGGAAAAAAAGTCGGATTCCTATAAAGGCGAAAAAAAACAGAAAAAAAATCTTAAAAAGTTTGTCCAATTCCCTAAGAAAGTGGCGAAAAAAATGGTTTGTAAAAAATAGAACGCTTGTTCGTATAAAATAAAAAATACACACATGAAAAAAAAAATAGAAAGGGCGAAATTTCTAATCAATATATATCTCTACTCTATCTCTAATATAATCTAACTATTTTTAAAAAAAATGCACGAGAGAATAAAAACGGTTCAAACAAACGCGTGAGAAAAAAGTCAGAAAAAAGCAAAAAAAACACGCTAAAAAGGTTTTCCATCTTCCATAAAAAAAATAAAAAAACGCGCGAGAAAAATTATTTCCATCGTCGGTAACTTTTTTAAAAAATAAAACATGCGAGGAAAAAACTGTCAGAAAAAACGCGCCATTTTAACCAATGGTTTTAAAAAAACCGCACAAGAAAAAAACACCGTCTATTAAAAAAATCGCTCTGAGTCGGATAGGATCCATCGATTTTTTGCCATCTACTACACGGCTTTTATTTCGTCTATATTCTCTTGTTTTTAAAAAAAGCAACAAAAATAACATTTGAAAAAAAACAAGCAAAAAAACACGCGAGAAAATAATTGGCAAAAAAAGGCAAAAAACACACGAGAAAAGAAAAGCAAAAAATGGAGAAAAATATGGTTTTCGTTATAAAGAAAAAAGCAAAAAGATCTTGTTAGAAAAAAAAACTTTTAGAAAGAAATGCGTCATTTCTGAATGGTTTGAGAAAATCGCACAAGAAAAAAAACACCGTTTGTATAAAAACAAGCCGCTCATTAAAATACAAACTCATTAAAATACAAACATTGCCATTGACATAATTATTCATGAAAAACGTATATTATCATTAGAATTTTTTCACCCGTTGCAACGCACTTGCATTTTTGCTAGTAACATATAAAACGAGGGAGTACCTCTCGCGGTAAGTACTTTTTGTATAACGGCCTTTCCGGCTGTTGCAAAAAAGGGCGGCTTTTTTTCTGAAAAAAAAACCTACTCAAAAGCTGCTCTTAGAAAAAAACTGATCCAGCCGTCAAACCGGCAATCACTCAATAGATTAGCACTCAGAGCAATCTCTCATTATCCACCATTATTTATGTAGTTTCAACTGAACATTCACACAAGTTCGAAAAAGACATCTGGAATTTACACTGGCATATATGATGCGTCACAACACAAGCAGGTACATTTCCCTTTTACAGAGTAGCTCCTACTAATTCACATCAGTAAAATAAACACACCCCAGGGGCATGCTGTTATTTATTTCTTGACTCCTTTCCCACTGTACAGAAAAAAACTTTAAAAGAGTACTTAGCTACTAGTATCTGCGAATCAACATATCAGAAGCATTCAAACAGAACACCAGCACCGGATCGTGTGATTGATCATCAGTTTCACTGTCACCCAGCGGATCAGGTTGGGCGAGCTTCCCCGCCCTTCTGCAATCAGCCGCGAAAAAACACAAGCAGACCGTGTGGATCAGTTCATCATTCATTCATAACCCAGAAATTAACCAAATACTCCTAAGTTGGAGGAGATCAAGACCGGCTAATTGGTTTGTTTTTAATTTCACCTTATCCCCTTTGGCGGCGGCCGCCCTCTTCGCTGCATCGGCCTTGTCCTTGTCCGCCTTCCTCCTCTCCTTCTCCAGCTTCTCCCTCTCCATCTTCTGCTCCACCAAATCATGATCAAATTCGACATTCAAACGTCGTCAGTCACAAACAGCAGTAGCGATCAATGATCAGGTGACCACCAACCTGTATGTAGACGCTCTCGGCGGCGCGCTCCTCCTCGCTGAGCACCCTGCCGGTGCCGTCGCTGAAGTAGCGCGCCACGCGCCGGCCTCCCTCCATCCTCCTCGCCAAAACTGCCGCCGCCCACGCGGGTTGATGAGGCGCCACCACCCTCGCCACGGCCGTTCTTGTAGCCATCTTCTTCTTGCTCCCCAAGAACGTCTTCTTCTTCCTCTTCTTGCTCCCCAAGAGTAGAGTACGACGACGACGCGTGGATGATGACTCGCGAATCGCGATCCCTCTCGGGAGCTTGCCGACCTCGACGTGGGGGCGGGGCGCCCACCTATTTCTAGTTAGGTTTTTCACTTTGTCAGTGTCCGTCGGATGCTCTCATCCTGACCATTTTGCGGCGCGAAACCGAAGATAAGGATGGGAATATGGGATTGAGATGAGAACGCCGGAACTAACCGGATAAAAGAAAGAAAGCCAAGTGGTTTGGAAAGCAACTCGAGTAGTCTGGGCCTAAACCATCCTAGTTTGGGCCTCCCGGCTCCCGGCCCGGCCAAACCCGATCCATCGGAAGCACGCGAGGCGAAGTGATTCGTGCAGCGGGTTCCACCAACCGCGCGGCGGATCGGACGGTGGTGCGCGCCTCTCAGCCGCCGAGTCCACGGCGACCACCGCCTCACCAACCCACGCAACCAATGCCATGTGAATAACAGAATAAGTGCGAGTAAGTGAGCCCTGCGGCGCCGACTCCTTTTTTTACGCTCCTCTGCCATTTCCACCCTCTTGGAGTTGGAGGGGAGCACGCGCCGAAGCGACAGCGCGAGGTCGAGCAGGTGAAGCGAGTGGGGAGGGAGGGAGATGGCGGGGGGCGGGGGCGCGGGGAGTAAGGTGTCGGTCGCCGCCGTGCAGTTCGCCTGCACCGACGTCGAGTCCGAGAACGTCGACACCGCGGAGAGGTATGTTGTCCGGTATCCCTAACCCCGTCCCCGTCCCCCCGCCCCCCCCCCCCCCCCCCCCCCCAAATTGTAGGGGTAGATTGCCCCGAAGGAAGGAACCGAGCGCGGCGGCCGCTTAATTGTTTGGTCTGATCGCCGATGTTCTCGCTCTGCTATGCTTAGTGATTCTGACTATTAGAATTGATGAATGCTCTGGTATTTTGTTCCTGAAATCCTGAATGCTATGAAGGTTCCGGTGATTATGTACTACTGAATTTTGAGCGGTTCTCGTTAACTGAGTCACAAGTGACCTATATTAATTCCCGCAAAAAGAAAGTAACCTACGCAATTGAGTTCATTTTCGCCATGAGATGGCTACACTGTCAACAAATTTATAGCCCGAGCATACTAGAAGATAAAAAAAAAGAAGGAAAAAGATAGCTAGAGCAGTACCTCAATCCCTTCCTGGATTGCACAAACTGTTAAGATTGAATCTGAAGCTATCTTTCTCTTCTACTTGGTCGCAAAGCTGTGACCCTTATGCCAGTTAGTGTTTCTGATTTTGCAGAAGCCGTTGCCGTTCTTTTCACATTCTACTTTATTCTTTTCTCATGGAGATATCTGAGACTGTTCCCTTTGTTCATTCAATTATTGAGGCACCTTCCTTCACATTGTGATTGTGTTGTGTACCTTTTGGTTCTGTGACGCTGATAAGAATAATGCCTCTTTTTTTTTTTTAACTTTGTCACATCTATTGCTATCATTAAACCAAATAGAATGGCAATAAGTTATACCTCTCTAGTTAATAGCTTATACTAACCACAAATCTGAGTTATAAACTTTTAGTTACATCATTATTGTAGTTGTAACTCTGACTTCTGACTACACCGTGAAAACTGAAGCATGTTTTTCGACATAACTTTCAATAAATTAACTATATCAATGTACACCGAGTCAACTTTCCTTTTCATAGCAACAGAGAAGTTCAATGCCATTTGGAATTTATTTTGTGGCACTCTTGTGGTTAAAGGCTTTATATTTCAATATTGACCAACTTGATAGGCTGCGATGTCTTATTTTCTTGATGATAAATGTGAAGAAAAGAAACCCAAAATTGTTTGGCCTGATCATCTTACTCTCTCTCTCTCGCCCCCCTACGTTTCTTTCTTATACCTTGAGTTAGTAAATACCAAACAAACCAGAGATTTTGCTGAGGAGATCTACTGAAAGTAAACTCATTCAGGGCTTTATTATTCATATTGCAGGTTGATAAGAGAAGCTCATAAGAAAGGAGCAAACATTGTCCTTGTTCAGGTATATTTATATGATACATATATGTGTGTTCAGTGATGTTGACAAGCTGCAACTTGCAATGCTTGTTTTGAAAATTGAACCAGAAAGAGCAAATGGGTTTGGATGAATATTCTTATTTGCAATTTCGTTTAAATTGTTATGTTTTGTTTGATTCAGTTCAGGGCCTAAAAAGATTAATGGAATGATGATTATGTGCACTGAATCTATATGTCAATGCTTTAGGAACTGTTTGAGGGGCAGTACTTCTGTCAAGCTCAAAGGTTGGACTTCTTTCAACGTGCTAAGCCTTATAAAGGGAACCCAACTATAATCAGGTAGGCTTGCCTCATTACTTGATTCTTGTCAGGAGTCCACAAGCAATGTATATGTTCTATTTCTGTAGTTATCCCTATGCTTCATTCTTTCTTGTTCGATAGGTTTCAAAAACTTGCAAAGGAGCTGGAAGTTGTAATACCTGTCAGCTTTTTTGAGGAGGCGAACAATGCACATTACAATTCAGTAGCCATTATTGATGCTGATGGCACTGATCTTGGCCTGTACCGCAAATCACATATTCCAGATGGACCAGGTATTGCCCATGTATAGTTTATGACAGATTCACTATAGACTAGTCATGGACTATCTGATTTAAACAAGTTAGCTATTTCCTTTTTGGCTAGGTTATCAAGAGAAATTTTATTTCAATCCTGGTGACACCGGCTTCAAGGTAAACATGGTTTTATATTTATATCTTGATAGGTTTGCACTTGTTAGTAGTAAAAATTCACTAGGTGTTAATGTGTAATTGGTACTATGCAGGCTTTCAAAACGAAGTATGCTACAATTGGTGTTGGTAAGTTATTTATGTTGTTCAGTGATATTAATGTTTGGTTCTGAAAGAGCATGAGCAGGGTAGTAACTAATGCAATATCACCTGACTATCTTTTATCGCTAAACCATTATCCTGGTAGGAATTTGTTGGGATCAGTGGTTCCCAGAGTGTGCAAGGGCCATGGTGCTTCAGGGGGCTGAAATTTTGTTCTATCCAACTGCAATTGGTTCTGAGCCCCAGGATAATAACCTAGATTCCCGAGAACACTGGAAGCGCGTCATGCAAGGACATGCTGGTGCTAACCTGGTACTGCTATTTGTTTTGTTATACCTTATGTTTTATCAGCTACTCAGCTTTATTGAGAAATCAAATATATACCTATTTTTATTTACGATCCTTCGGTAGTTTCTGATCATTCTGGATCCATACCAATCATGCAGGTTCCCCTTGTTGCTTCTAACAGGATAGGAAGGGAAACCGTTGAGACTGAGCATGGTGAAAGCACTATAACATTCTTCGGGAATTCATTCATAGCAGGTAATTTCAGCATCTTGTTCTTTTACTGCTGGATGTGTAACAAACTAAAATCATTAGCATATGGTTGTGCAGGGCCAACCGGTGAAATTGTGAAGCTTGCAAATGACAAAGATGAAGACGTTCTTGTAGCAGAGTTCGACTTGGACGAGATCAAGTCTACCAGGCATGGTTGGGGGATATTTAGGGACCGGCGTCCTGATCTATATAAAGTGCTTCTAACATTGGATGGCGAGAAATCATGATAAGGTCCACCTTTGTGGAGTCATCTATCCTTGAAAAGGTACATGAGCTCCACAACATTGGGAGGACATACACAGGGTCCATAAATGCTGCCACTACAATCATGGTAGATCACCCCTCTTCCCTTCTCAGGAATCTCTGTTGTACACGGCTTCTCTGTGTTTGCTGCTTAGTGATTTTTCACCAATTTCCGATTCCACAATAAAATGCTCGTGGTGTGTCGTTCTGGCAGACAATTGAGAATATAACATATTAAAACCTCTATGTTATGCACCACAATGTTTCTTTTTTTTTTGAGGGGTACACCACAATGTTTCTCGAATCATTTTGTTTTTGAAACTGGGTTTCTTGAAACATTTCGATCTGAAACGGAGTTTCTGATAACATTATTGTGCTGCTGCTAAATATTTTAATTATTGGATTCAAGAAATGGATCATAACTAGAAGAATAAATCAGGATCTTTTGTTTCAGAATAGCATCCGTGATGGCTTTAGAGAACCATCAGTTAGCTTTCACGTGCTATCTGCTCCTTTTCCATCAACTAAACCCAAGGTTCTTGTGAACCCTGGCACGTGAATCCTGGAAAGGTCGTCTCTAATGTGATTTTCAGCTGTGCTTAGTTGCATGCCTGCTTGGACATCGTTGCCAGTGCTTGGTCACTTTATTTTGTTTTTTTTATTCCTGTAGCAATTAAATCATCAAAGTGCACAACAGAATTCTGCGCAAAAAGAAGCAAAATAAGTGGCATTGTATTGCATTTGACGGGCGATGCAACAGTAAACAAAAAATTTCGCCATATTTACATCTCTCTCTGGTAGGGAAAACTAGCATGCCACTGTCGAACTTGTTGACAGGAACTAAACAAAACCCCATTGCCAAGAACATGAGCCTGCTTTGATTTGCTCTATTCGTTCTTCTCTGCTGGATCTTGGTCATCTGCTAGTAGCAGTAGCTGTTGTTGCTGTAGCTGTTCGTCCGGGTGGGCGAAGTGGAGCTTGAAGCGGCCGTCCTCGCGGCGCCCATGGAGCAGCTCCCGCGACGGTATCCTGACCTCCCGGAGCACCAGCCGGCCGTCCCCGCGGTGCGCCCGGAGGTACAGCCACGGCTTCCCGCCGGCGCCGATCACCGATATCGGCGGCGGGAACGCCGCCCTCGTCCACGCCGGGAGCGGCGGCGCCAGCGCTGCTGGCACGACCGTCTTCTCCTCCTCCTCCTCCTCGTCGTCGATGGGACGGTGCTGCCGCTTGCACGGCAGCGCGCGGCCGACGCCGTCGTTGCCGGTGTCGTCGCCGCCGCCGGTGCCAAGATCGACGTCGCCTCCGGAGCTCTCCGAGCTCTCGGACCCGAGCCCCTCGGTGCAGAGGCCGAGGTAGCGCCGCCGCTGGTCCTGTCCGGCTTGCCCGAAAAGCGGCGGCGGCGGGCGCGGCATGACGGCGGCGTGGTGGCCTCCTCGGCACGTCGTGGTAACGGCCATGCACGCGAGCGCGCGCGCGCGTTTAGTAATAACAACCTTAAAAGTTAAAACTAGCTAAGCCAAGTCGTGTAGTAGTAGTAGACGACTAGTCGTTGTGCCCTCTCGTGATGGCGCTGGGGCGGCACAGGGAGTTGGGAGGAGCTGAGCTGAGCGGCTGGCTCTCTCTCGCTGCAGGGTCCCGTGAATTATAGAGGGGGGGGGGGGGGGGGGGGGGGGGCGGGTTGGGGACGAGGAGATATGGGAGGAGGGGACTCGTGGCCTCCTGGTGTTGCGTCTCGCGCGCGGAGGGCGGTGGGCGACGGACCGGCGTTGGGTTGCGAGATACTGTTTGCTGCTGCTGCCGCCGCCTGCCGGTGGTGGCTGCGTGCGGACGTGCAGTGGGATTGGCTACTGCTGGCTTGGACGAGACGAGATCGGTGAGGTTTTAGCGTTATACTCCACTATATAGCTTCTCTCGATCGTTCTCAAAAGCGTATATTCTTGCTGGATTCAGGGGTCGCGGAACCGTGTTGTATTAGACGGCACGCCGATCCGTCGTTTCAGGCTAAACAAGTTGATATTGGAGCTATGGTTCTAAATATGGCTTTGACCGCCCTGCGTAACGTGCACTGCGAAGCCGATGGGCGGTATTTGCTTTGCGCATGTCGAATCAATAATTTCATTAACCAGTAACCACCGGTAATGATTGTTCTCTCGATCAAGCTAAGCTAGATTCTGAAGTGCACGCATTATTAGCATTTAGCAACGCGGACTATTGAGAATTAAAATTGATCTACTGTCTGATGTGCTAGGATAGAAGAATAAACGGGTTAGAATATATTCTACGATGGCAACTGACAAGAGGGGGATTAGTTATTGGTTTCCTAGCTAGTGAGTCAGAGGGCGAAGGAGATTGGTGTGCGGTCACGTAGAAGCAGAACTGATGACTCGAGGTCACGCTGGAAGCCTGGAGGAATATATCCCACATTCCTTCACTGCATCTACAATCAAGGGTTTTATTTTTGTATATATAGCAAGATAGGGAACTGATCAGGGGAAGAGATTGACTCGTTGAATTCTGATCAAGCGGGTGCTTGTAGTAATGGATGGACCACTGACGCGGTGCAATGCGGCAAAAACAATGACTCAGTGACTTTTAGAGAAATCTAACTATGTTAAAGTTTTGCTATGAAAACATTAATTTCATTCCCTAAAGTAGTACTCCCTCCGTTTTTTTACATGTGACGCCGTTGATTTTTTAGATAAATTTAACCATTCGTCTTATTTTAAAAAAATATGTAATTATTATTTATTTATTATGACGATTTATTATCAAATGTTTTTTAAGCATGTTTTAAATATTTTTATATTTGCATAAACATTTTGAATTAGACAAATGGTTAAATATTGCTAAAAAAATCAATAACGTCGTATACATGCTCGCAAATAAGCTCGGGTACCGGCCAGGGTTGCAATGCAAAGAATCTGCCCTTGGACAAAAGCTCCTGAAAACAGCAGTGTCGGGCTGGTCCGCGGGAAAGGAGGCCCAATGTGCAATGAAAGAAAATAAACTATAGTCCAAAGAGAAAATACAGTGTACACCATTATTCAAAGTGAAACTTTACTTTAGTAATAATTGCTCGCGCAATTTGAAATTTTCTTTTTATTTAAAAAAATGAATATCCAAAAAGAAAATGCCAAAGAGGAGAAACTCGAAAAATAGTTTTACGAATTTCTTGTGAGGATTTTCAAAGGAATATAATCATTGCAAATTTGAAGTAAACAACGCAAATTCAAATTAAAGAAGTACCCAAATTTTTAGATTAACAATCACAAGAGCATCATTGTCAAAGAAAGGATTTTGCCGTTGAATTTACATCTTTGAGCATGTAGGCTCGGCCCAGTTCTTTTTCTCAACTTCAAACTTGAACTTTCTTGTTTTCCATTAGCACGTTTTTTAAATGGTATGTTTTGGTAAAAAGTTTTGATGTAGAAGTTGTTTAAAAAAGATCAAATAAATCTATTTTTCAATTTTATAATAGTTAATACTTAATTAATCATGTTCTAATGAGTTTTCTTGTTTTCCGTGCACTGAAAATATCCCTCCAACAGTACAGAACAAACGGGGCCTTGGGACAAACTGGTAGGTACAAGTGTGTGATTTGTGTGTAAATGTCTTCCATGTAATTGGAAAAAAAATGTCAATAATTCTGGAAGCAGTGGTGGTAGCAGATTGTTAACATGGACAAAACATCGCTAAGAGCCCCTTTGAATCACGAAATAATAAAAATAGAGGAATATAAAAAAATCAGGATTCTGATAGAAATGCAAATGGAAAACAGGAAAACCACATGAGTCGGATGAGAGAGATAGAGTCAGCAAAATTTCCAAGAGGTTTTTCGTAAAAAAAAAATCAAAAGGTTAAAGCTCTTGCTAAGTTTCCTCTAAAATCTCTACAGAATTATCCATTCCATAGGATTTTCAATGGAGATGATATGATTCAATCCTTTGAACAAAGACCTTTATATAAATTTTCTTATAGGATTGAAATATTATAAAATCCCTATGTTTTTCTACAAATTAAAGGGGTTCTAAACATTGCCTGCTGGCCCAAGCACCTATTTAATTCTACAAAGAAGAAAAAAGCTTCACTCTAGATCCCTTAACTAAGTTTTATTTACATTCCTCAACTATAAATCGTGTATCTCAATCATCGAACTATCTACAACTTAAGTTCCTTTGTGGTTTGGATGATGATTTCATTCTATGTGCCATCCATGTGACACATTGACCTAGTCTTCGTCTGATGTGTGCTTACATGTAAAAAAGAGTTCATTTTCCCCTTTGTTCTCCTCACATCCTCCAATGTCCATGCTCTGCCTGCATGTGTCGATGGTGGCTTCGAGTGTTGCAGTGTGCGACTCAGCGAGGATTTTGGCAATACAGGAGGAGGAGGGAGGCGAGCGCGCCTAGGAGGCCTCGTCGACAAGGACCTAGCGGCGCCATATCCGCAATGCCCGCACTATGGGAATGGGAGGACATTGGCATGACCCCGTCATGCATGCCTTTAGTCCATGAGCGTCTCTGATGACCCGAGCCACGATATCGTTGCTGATTTCTTGCTGTACTTCGTCGAAGACGTCGATGTTTGGCTTTCCGGCATCGACGTGGTTCTGGTCATCAGAGATATTCATGGGCTTGAAGGAACGCACGGGTGTCATAGAGTGTGGCCGGAACCGTCGAGGTCGCCGAGCCACAACCTCATGCACCTCTAGAATCCTTACCAAGTTGTACACTACAACCAATCAAAGTTGTTGTCGATACACACATACACACATGCAGAGAGCTTAATAGAGATTGCTGGAGGGGAGGAGAAGCTAGAGAAAGGGAAAAGTGAACTATTTTTTACACGTAAGGACCACACAACAGACGAAGATTAAGCTAACGTGCCATGTGAATACCACGCAGGGTAGGGTGGGTCAACCGGCCCAGCTACGACCTGCATCGTCCTACCTCCCAGAACCCCCTATCCATCAGCCCATCGAGAAAACAATCTAACAGACTCAGCCCATCAAGGAAATAAGCCAGCCAGCCCATCATCCTGCATCAAAGTTCACAAGTTGGACACTCACGCCGCATCGTCTTCCAATCGGTGATGCTGCTAATTCGAATTCGACACACGTCTCGCTAACGCCAATGTGACGGCCGACGCCGATCTGCACGCGCGCGGTGCCTGCGCCGACGGCCGATGCCGCCACGCGCCCATGTCCACGCCGGTCACTGCCCATCTCACGCTGCTTCCGCCGGCTAGCGGCTTTGGCTAAGCCATAGCGGGCTAGCGGCCATCCGCCAGCGCTTGAGGCCTATCCCCTGTCCCCCCTGGAGTCCTGCTAGCTACAACAACATAGGTAGGCCGTGTAGGTGGCACTAGACTGTGGTAGCCGGCGCCCGGCCGGCAGAACCTGTAAGGTCCCAAGCGCATGAAGCTTTGTTATCACTTGTCTGTTTACAGAGTTCCTTCATTCCTTGCATGGTCTCTCCATCTCTAAAGAGGAACAAAGCTGTAACAAAGCTAGCGAAACTTTTGGTTCAAGCTATAAGGATGGAGGGACACTCTGATCGCCGCCAGCTCGGCACTGGTCGAGGGTGAGGAACGCCTTTGAGTCTGAATGCCCTGCCTGATGTGAAAAGTATGATCGGTAGTAAGTTTAAAAATCAAGGTATGGTAGACTTGTAGTGGAACTTTAAAAATATTGATGGATGAGCAACAAGTGACATGTTTATTTCTTTAGAATTTTGATTTTGTAGGTTTTGGCAAGAAGTATCGTAGACTATTTATGGAGCTAAGATTGTTGTTTTATTTAAAAATAAAAGGTACCATCCTGGATGTTCTTGTTATTTTTAATGCGATTGTAATATAAATGAAATGTACCATTCTTTTGTTTGCATTATATTATTTGGTCTACATACCGGAGCTGATAATATTTGAGATTATGCATGAAAGATCCATTTTCGATTATACTATGTTTTTAATGCGATTGTATTATAAATACGGCATGTGTTGGGTTCCGTTGTCCTTATCGAGCAAGCATCTCCACCTTATCACTTTTTTTAAAGCTGTGTCTGCTACTACACGCAGGATGAAATCCGCTATCAAACCGCCAAGAAACTCAATTTGAGTTTTAGTGGTTAGGAGACTATATCCAGTTTTGCGATTGAGGGACACATGAAACTGACCCATAGTAGTGAGATTAAAAGTGGACTCTTAGAAAGCACTAAACATGGCCGGCTGGGCCAGGCAATTTCCCGACATCAGTTCTACGAAGGAATAAGTTCACTGGAGATTCCTCAACTTAGGTCTTTGATTAGTTCCAAACTTTTTCTTCAAACTTCAAACTTTTCCATCACATCAAAATTTTCCTACACACGTAAACTTCTAACTTTTCCATCACATCGTTTCAATTTCAACCAAACTTCCAATTTTGATGTGAACTAAACACACCCTTAACAGCGAGTTTTTTTAGGTCCCTTAACCACAAACTAGGAATCTCCACCCCTAAACTATACAAAACCATTCACTCAAGGTCCCTAGGTAGTATATATGGGTGGTTTCGCTAACGTGGCATCCTAGTCAGCGAAAAAAAAAGCACGTGGGGCCCACATGTTAGCTGCATATCTTATTTTCTTCTCTTTTCTTCTCCTTTCTCTCTTCTCTCT